CATGGGATTTGTTGGGATTTCTGGTGTCCGTCTTTCATCAATTCTGGTTTTCAGCCATTATTTCTTTGAAAATTGCCTCTCATATTTTAGTTATATTTTTCATTTGTAGAAATTCTGGGTTTTTTTCCGGTAAATTTTTATGGACTTTTTTTCCTTTGTCATACTTTTAATGCCCTCCTGTATTTCTTTAAACATAGTAATGATATTTATATTATACTTGATGCTTTCCAGTTTGTTATGTTTGCTGACTCTTCCTCATGGTGCCTTGCTTCCTCATGTATTTGATGTTCAAAAGTAAGTCTACGTTTCTTGCAACTTTTTCTGCAGGAATCCGTTGAGGCGAGTGTTTAGCATGCATCCTCCATGGAGGATTTGCATTTGTTTTTGCCAGCTACCTAGGGGCACCAACAACTTAGGATCACTGTAAGATTTAAAATTGTGCTTTTTTCGTCCACTCAGTTGTTGGGCGTTTGTTTTTCCCAAACCTTTGTGACCACAGGCTTGTGGCTAGAAATTCTCAGGGGAGATTTTTATTCTTCTCTACTTCCCTCTACCCAGCACCAAAGTGAGACAGACAAGTCTCCTTTTGTGGGATAACGTATTTTTGTAGTTCACCCACTGAAAGTTTAGTCTATAGTGGTAGGGAGAGTGTGTACTTTGGACCTCCCATCTGCCCTTTGATTACAGGCTCTGAGGATCTGCAGATACCCTCTGAGCAAAATCCAGTTCCATTGCTTGCTTTATTCTCTGGAATCAGGTTTCTTGTCATTTTTAGCCTTCAGTTGTTTCTCTTACTCTCTTCCAGCTTAGTGATTTTATCCAGTAATGTTCATCATTCTCTCTAGGAGGAGTCTCTGTACATACCTTGCCCTGCATATTACCAGAATGTACCTTTTTTCACTTAATTTATCTTACTGATTTGTCCCATCACTTATATAGAACTACCTCATTCCTTTAAACGACTTCATTGTATTTCATTGTATGGCTGTCTCAAACTCACAATATAATGTATATTATATTACGTATATATGGATAGAGATATACATTTATACATTTATCAAATTAGTCCTGTTTAAAAAACATCAATGGCTTCCTATTTCTCTTAGAAAAAAATTCAAATCTGTTATGTCTAGAAAGCTTTTCATGATCTTACTCTATCTACCTCCTAACTTTACCACATACATGTTGCCCTAGCCTGCTATTTTCCAACCACACAGATTTCCTTTCTGTTCCTAAAACAGGCCAACTTCTTCTCTGCTTCAGGGTCTTTGCAAGCGCAATTTTCTTTCTACCTGAAATTCTCTTCCGAACTCTTAGTACAGCTGGTTCTTTCTAACCTTAAGGTCCCGATTTACATGTAACGTTCTCAAAAGGACCTCTCGCGACCACTCTAACAGAGGTAGGCCCCCCTTTGTTATTCTCATCCTAGTACCTGATTAGTTACTTCACAATTTTCATTCACTTACTTAATTATTTACTGAGAACCTGCTAGATGAAAGGTACTGCTCCATGGGCTTTGGAACCCCCATTATTTCTCACTACAATTAGATATTTACTCCCTGTCCCTCTCACTAGGACACAAGTGCCAAGAGCATGTCTGGATCGTCATTACATCCTCCAACATGAGCAAAGTAATTGACGCGTTACCATTGTGTGCCGTAGTAGTAGACAAAAAATATTTGTAGAATGAATGCATGATGTATCACCTCAAAGTACTTTCATTCTATTCAGGTTTAGGGACACGAGTGAAGCAATCATCTCAAAATGACACGCTGGATTAGAAAACTGAACTGTTCACTTTTACCAAACAAAATAAACCAAAGACTTTAACCTCGGAAAACATGGCTAAGAACTCAGTATTCACCTCTCAGCAACAGGCAGCCTTGCTAATCAACCTTAGCAAGGGACTGCTAAACCCATGACACACTCTAGCCTGTTTCTCCACATCCCTATTACACATACGGTAATCATATAATTTATTGTACCCACTGGGATCCTTTTGACCCTGTTAATAATTATGCAGGGTCAATGGGCAAAAATCGGGGCTATCTTGATTGGGCAAATTGGGACATTCAATCACTTTAATTATAGAGCACAATTAGACAAGATCTGTTTCTAGTGAGGCACAAACTTTGGGAAGAAGTTATGAAGAACAGGTGAAATGTGCCACTGCCACTAGGTGGGGTGGCACCCTTAAAGAAAGGAGGCCATTTCAATTACTTCAGAAAGTTCTTTAGATGCATATGCACTCAGGTACTGTTCAGTAATCTTTTCAGTTTAAACGGGTAGTACTGTAAATTTAAACACTTGAATTAACGTAAAATTGTCTTCTGGGTAATGATTACTGGAAATAAGTCCAAAGGGAAATGTTCGACCATATTATTATTGATATTTTTTATTAACTCATTTAAAACAATTTCAATTACTGCCTACTACACCTGAGGCAGCATAGAGGTGAAAAACATACTCGTTGCCCTTAAGATGGCAAATCTAGTGCGCTCGAAGTCAGTGTGGGCTAGAAGGGTTACAGAATTTGTGGGGCCCAGTGCAAAATGAAAACGAGGAACTACTTGTCCAAAAATTAAGAATTTCAAGATGGCAACAGCAGAACATTAAACTAAGTGTTTAGCCCCTCTGAGCGTGGGGCCTCTTGTGACTGCACAGACCACCTATTCATGCCTGAGTGTAGGATAGTATTCTATGACAAGTTATAGACGCATCAGCTATGATGCTTAGCATACGTTGCAATGCTTCCAGGACCCTTCGGCTTGTTTTTATTCTGTATGGTACATTTGGCAAATACAGAATTAAATTGTATTTTAAAAACTACTGGGCATTGACTCTATTTGTGCTATGTGCTATAGGGAAATTATGCTGAAGTTTAATTCAATCAAGTACATAAATACCTATAAAATAATAAAGATATTATTAAAAAGTACAATTACAATTCTTCTGCTTTCTCCCATAAGACCAAAGGGCCAACAAGAACTGAAACTGGTAGGCACTCAATAATTACTTGTTGAATAAATGCTACGAGGGTTAATGGATGAGACTTCATCAAAGGGAAGCATCAGAGAAAACTGAAGGGACAGCTAAGGTTCTGAAAGTCATAGGTGGGCCAGGAAGGGCACTGTAGTCATGAGGAAATGTCAGTGGAAGCAAAGTCCTGTGTATTTTTTGTTCAATTTGTTTATCATCACCTTCCATTAGAACAATAACCCCGGTAGGAGCAGGAATCTTTTTCATTTGTTCGTAGCTGTACTCAGTGCCCAGGAGAGCACCTGTCCCATAGTAAAAAAAAAAACAAAACCAAACCCATTGACTTCGAGTCGATTCTGACTCATAGCGACCCTAAAGGACAGAGTAGAACTGCCCCACAGGGTTTCCAAGGAGCTGCTGGTGGATTCGAACTGTGGACCTTTTCGTTAGTAGTCAAACGCTTAACCACTGCGCCTGTCCCATAGTAGGCCTTCAGTACTTACTGAGTGAATAAATGCAGGTAATGCTACTTACCACCATGTGTCTGTCAGTTTCTTGTACTGTGATGGCTTGTATATTACGATGCTGAAAGCCAAGCCACTGATACCAGTAGGGTTATCCATGGTGGACAGCAGAGTTTCCAGAGTAAGACAGACTAGGAAGAAAGGCCTGGCAATCTACTTCTGAAAATTAGCCAATGAAAACCCTATGGATCACAACAGAATATTGTCTGATATAGAGATGGAAGATGAGCCCCCTAGGTTGGAAGGCACTCAAAATACACAGTGGAGTCTTACCAACTACTGCGAAGATGGCACAGGACCTGGCAACATTCCATTGTTGTACATGGGGTCGCCATGAGTGGGAGCCACGGCAACTAACAATGCTACTTAGCTAAAAGCACAGAGAACACACTAGTGAAGAAGTAGGATATCAGGTTGGAGCCAAGTTGACTAATGTTTTGAATATCAGAGTGAGACTCTACACTTAATTCAGCTGAGAGCTGAGACCTATTGGTTTTTGAAAAGAGCAGTGATAGGATCTGAACAGTGACAGGATTTGAAGGAAAAAAAGTTTGAGATAAAGTTACCTGTTAATATCTTCTCACATCCTTCTCTTAATTACTTTTCCTCTCCTTCCCGCTCTCGGGCTGCGCTTAATGTTCCCTTAAGCCAAGTAAGACCCGAAGTAAGAATATTAAAAGCACCCATTAAAACAAACAAACGAAAGCTAAAGCCGGCAACTTTTTACATCTTTTATGAATGACAACTGTTCTATTATCTGTGTTTTCATAACCTCACTATGAACTACTGGGGCGGATACAGCTGTTTAACAATATTCTGGGCAGTTACTACGCCAAGATGGAGTCCTGCACTAGGTGTGCTCAACAAATTCTCTTGATAACAGCGTAAGATCAAATTATTTCCAGATTAACAAACGGTGTAATTATTTGAGTAAACAAGTCCTTCCTTTTCGCACCCAGTCCGCCCCTTTTTCCGGCCAATACAAAGTAGGTAATTAGTTGAAAAACCAAGCAGCCGGGCGGTATGTTTTCGTTGCGATTTAATCGTCCCAAGTACCTACAGCGCTTTGTTCTGTTACGATTCTTGGCCAAGACTAACTTTGCATCCCAATAGGGTGTGGCTGGACTCGCTGTAATGAGACAAACGAAACCACGAACAGGACATCGCCGTCAAAAACTACGAGCGACGGGGCGAGGATCCGCCCACAGCAGCCACGGGTCGGTGTCTGTCAGCTGGGAACCAATAAAGTTGGGCGTGTTCAAAGGGGTCCTTGTCATCCAGGGCCTGTTGGAAAGGCCTGCAAAATAAGACTCCTAGAAACATCCTGATGTGTTTAACCCTTTTCTTTCTCTTCAGTATTTTTTTCCCCCTACTCTCAATACTTCTGTCCTGAGGGAAACGGCTCGATCTAGGCCGGGTGGGGCCCATTTAGGGTGGAGCTGGTCCGGCGATCGCCACAGGCATCCCCGAGGAGGACCCAGCCCCCCAGCTCACGTGGAACTGGAGGTTGGAGCTGTGGCTTCGGAGCCAAACGCGATGAAACCGGTATCCGCAGGGTTCGTGGACAGTAAGCTAAAGCGACGAGTCATTCAGGTGTGTTTTCTGCACGACGCGGCCTCGCAGGGGTCCTAGGGTGCCGCCTGCCCTTTCTCGGGGGGCTCCCAGGCCAAACTTGAAGTAGCCACCGGCCTTCCTTTGGGTTCAGGCGTGGGTCTGTTGGTAATTCCGTTTTTCTGCTGGAGGTGCAGGGCCTTCCCTCCCTGTGGTTGGGCGGAGTCTCAAGGAGGAGCCCCGATGGTGGGAGGGTGCAGCCTGGTGGACCTGGACCTCAGTGCATGTCAGTCGGGACGATGGAGTTAGCCTGGTTACAGCCTTTCTGTGTTGTGAGTTTAGGGCAGAAACATTCTTCAAACACCCTAATTGTACGAGACACTTTGGGGACCATACAGAGTATATTAATTTCCGTTCTCAGGAAGCTTGCAGTCCGGCTGGAGACACAGTAAAAATAGGTAACATGCATCAGAGGTTGTAATAGGCACGTTTCTTACCGTTTTTTCATTTTCATAACCATCAGTAGAAAGCAGTGTGTGCTTAATGCCTTGGGATGGTGCAGTCAGCAAGCAATACGAGTTAGAAGAAAGGGGAAATTTTTTCCTCACGTTAGACTTTGGGAGCTATAAGCTGTCTTTGATTTTCTTACCTCACTGGCCGCTACACAATTTCCTTTTTGGATCCATCTCGTCCTGTGTTGTTTGTTGCCGTCGAGTAGATACCAAGTCATGGCGACACCACCTGCGCAGAGTGGAACCACTCCATAGGGTTTTCAAGGGTGTGACCTTCGGAAGCAGATAGCCAAGCCTGTCTTCTGCTGCGCCTCTGGGTGGGTTTGAACCGGCAACATTTTGACTTAACGTTTTGCGCAACCCAGGGACTCCGTCTCATCCTACCAACATCTAGATGTTAGAAGTGCCCTGTGCCTCTGTTATCTTTGCCGTCTCTCTATCCGCATACGCCTCTCATCTATCCGCACTCTGTAGGTGGTCTTTCCTAGTCTGACGGCTTTAAATATTATCTATATGTTCATTGGAGCCCTGGTGGCCTAGTGGTTAAGAGCTCGGCTGATAACCAAAAGGTGGGCAGTTCGAATCCACCAGCCGCTCCGTGGAAACCCTATGGCGCAGTTCTAACCTGTCCTATAGGGTCACTATGAGTCGGAATCTACTCTATGGCAATGAGTTTGGTTTTATATGTTCATGACTTCTAAGTTTATATCTAGTTCAGATTTTCTCCTGGACTCCAGATTCATATATCCAGCTACCTACTCGACATCTTGGCATAGTGGTTAAGAGCTACATCTGCTAACCAAAAGGTCAGCAGTTTGAATCCGCCAGGCGTTCCTTGGAAACTCTATGGGGCGGTTCTACTCTGTCCGATAGGGTCGCTATGAGTTGGAATCAACTCAGCGGAAGCAGGTTTTACTTAACATCTCTTCTTGAATGTCTGATAGGTAATGTGTAAGTGAATTTTTATTTTCTCCTCCAACCTGTCCTCTTCCTAGTGTTCTGTATCTTAATCAGTGACACCATTGTCCATCCCATTGTTAAGGCCAAATACCTTAAGAATCATTCTGACTCATTTGTTTCACTTTCTGTATTCAGTCCGTTAACAGTCTAATTGGCTTGATTTTCAAAATGCTTTCCAAATCCAACCACTTCTTACCATCTCTCCCACCACCCGACCTAGTCCAAACCACCGTTTCTCCATTAGACTATTGCAATAGTTTCTAACTGATCTCTGATTCTACTTTCATGTAAGGACTATACCCAGCAGAGGAGGCCTGGTGGTATAGTGGTTAAGAGCTCGGCTGCTAACCAAAAAGTCAGCAGTTCAAATCCACCAAGTGCTCCTTGAAACCCTGTGGGGCAGTTCTACTCTATGGGGTCACTATGAGTCAGCATCAAATTGGCAGAAACGAGTACAAGTTTATACCCACAGAGCAGACAGATAAATTCTTAAAGGGAGAATTAATGCTTGTCTTGGCCATGCTCAAAACCTTCAGTGGACTCTAAGGCATTTAGAGTAAACCTAGCCTAAAAAGCTCTGCTACATATTCTGGCCCTTGTCTAGTTTTTTGTCCTTGTTTCCTTCTGCTGCCTTCCTTGCTTACTCTGTTCCAGTCGCTGACCTTCTGAAACATGCCAAGCACGGGACCTTTGCTGTTACTCTTCAGTCCCTCTGCATTGTTCCTCCTCTGGGTGTCTGCACCACTTAGGAGAAGGTGCAGTGGGTAAGCGCTCAGCTGCTAACCAGAAGGTCAGTGGTTTGAACCCACCAGCTGCTCTGTGGGAAAAAGATATGGCAGTCTGCTTCCGAAAAGATTTCAGCTTTGGAAACCCTATGGGGGCAGTTCTGTTCTGTGCTATAGGGTCACTATGAGTCGGAATTGACTTGACATTAGTGAGTTTGGTGTTTCTTTGGTCTTTGCTCCTGTAGGCTTGTGAGCGATGACTCTTATTTGCCAAATCTGGCGGCCTTTTCTCGATCCTTACCACACTTAACTGCTCCTCAGTATTTAACATTATCAGATTTACTCCCTTGCTTTTACTTTTGTTCATTGTAAAATTAATAAGTTCTTATGGTTTAAAATAAAAGTGACAAAAGAGTACAAAATGACAAGGAAAAATCTTAGCTCCACTCCAGAAGTAACCATGGAGAATTTCTGTTGTATCTTTCTTAAGCTTTTGTATGCATATATGTGCTTACATAGGTATTCATTTTTTGAAACATCACACAGATGAGCTTATCTGCATCTGTTCTGCTTGAGTTTTTCACTTAGCAATATATTTTGGATATCTTCTCACAAGTAGTACATTGATCTCTTTTTAAGTAATATTGCCACCCTTTCTCGGGGGTTTTATTTCTGTTGCCATCAAGGAGCTTTTTGGCCTGTAGTGGCTAGGTTGTTGTTAGGTGCTGACAGGTTGGTTCCGACTCAGAACAACGCTGTGTGTAATGGAACGAAACACTGCCCAGTGCTGCAGCATCCTCACAGTCATTGTTATGCTTGAGCCCATTGTTGCAGCCACTATGTCAGTCCGTCTCGTTGGGGGGTTTTACTCTTTTTCACTGACCCTCTACTTTGCCAAGCAGGATGTCCTTCTCCGGGTCCCTCCTGATAATATATCCAAAGTACATGAGATGAAATCTCAGCATCCTTGCCTTCTAAAGAGCACTCTGGCTATATTTCTTCCAAGATGGATTTGTTTGTCCTTGTTGCAGTACATAGTATAATCAATATTCTTCACCAACACCACAATTCAAAGGCATCGATTCTTTTTCGGTCTTTCCTTATTCATCGTGCAGCTTTCACATGCATATGAGGCCGTTGAAAATATCATGGCTTGGGTCAGGTGCACCTTAGTCTTTGAGGTGACATCTTTGCTTTTAAGACTTTAAAGAGGTTTTTTGCAGCAGATTGGCCCAATGCAATATGTCATTTGATTTCTTGACTACTGCTTCCATGGGTGTTGATTGTGGATCCAAGTAAAATGAAATCCTTGACGACTTTAATATTTTCTCCATTTATCATGATATTGCTTTTTGGTCCAGTTGTGAGAATTTTTGTTTTATGTTGAGGGGTAATCCATAGTGAAGGCTATAGTCTTTGATCTTCATCAGTAAATGCTTCAAGTTCTCTTCACTTTCAGCAAGCAAGGTTATGTCATCTGCATATTGCAGGTTGTTAATAAATCTTCCTCCAATCCTGATGCCTTGTTCTTCACATAGTCCAGCTTCTCAGATTATTCGCTCAGCATACAGTTAGAATAAGTATGGTGAAAGGCTACAACCCTGTCGCACACCTTTTCTGATTTTAAACCACACTGTATCCCCTGGTTCTGTTCAAACGACTGCTTCTTGGTCTGTTTACGGGCTGTGCATGAACACAATGAAGTGTTCTGGAATTCCCATTCTTCGCAGTGTTATCCATAATTTGTTATTATTCACACAGTCAAATGCCTTTGTGTAGTCAGTAAAACACAGGTAAACGTACCAGTGAGTATGAGATTGTTATGGATTGAATTATGTCCCCCCAAAATGTGTGTCAGTTGTCTAGGCCAGTATTGAGTGGTCGTCTACCATTTTGTGATCTGATGTGGTTATCGTATGTGTTGTAAATCCTAACGTCTATATGCTAATGAGGCAGGATTAGAGACAGTTATGTTAATGAGACAGGTCTCAATCTACAGGATCAGGTTCTATCTTGAGTCAGTCTCTTTTGAGATATAAAAGAGAATCGAGCAGAGAGGAGAGGGACCTCATTACCACCAAGCAAGAAGAGCCAGGAGCGAAGCGTGTCCTTTCGCCCCGGGGTCCCTGGGCTTAGAATGTCCTATACTAGGTGAAGATTGATGACAAGGATCTTCCCCCAGAGCTGACAAAGAGAGATAACCTTTCCCTAGAGCTGGCACCCTGAATTCAACTTCTAGCTTCTTAAACTGTGAAAGAATAAATTTCTGTTTGTTAAAGCCATCCACTGGTGATATTTCTATTGTAGCAGCACTAGATAATTAAGACAGAGATATATGCAAAAAACTCTAAGTATGAATAAGTGTAATTTAAGATTAGCTGTAGTAAATGACAGCATGTCAGAGCCCAGAGCCAGGGAAGTTAACTGGAACAGTCTGGCTTTGCATACTGAGTCTCTTGCCATTGATGCAGAGACTTACCATGCTAGGAATATTTGAGAAGAAATTACTGTGTGAAGTGGGACACTGGACTGCACAACCAGCAGGTATGGAAATAGAGGTAGTAGATACTTAGTCCAACTTTAAATCTGACACTGCAACTTATGTGTTACTAGGCAAGTTATTAACCTCTTTAAGCCTCACTTAAACCTCCTCATCTACAAAATGAGGAGAGTAATACCTACCTTGTAGCACTGTTATGGATTAAACGAGATAATGTGTAAAAAGCCCGTAGAGCAGTGCTTAGGACAGAGGTTTCCAAACGTTCTTCATTTACAACTCTTTTAGCTTCTCAGTAATTTTTTAATGGTATCCCTAGACCAGAAGAGGAGCTTTGGTGGTGCAGTGAGTAAGCGTTCGGCTGCTAACCAGAAGGTTGGCAGTTCAAATCCACCAGCTGCTTCTTGGAAGCCCGGTAGGGCAGTTCTACCCTGTCCTGTAGGGTTGCTGTGAGTCAGAATCCACTTAATGGCAATGGGTAGACCAAAAGAAATACAGTAGGTCTGTCTATTAAGTACTTAGGTTCAAGCAAATTAATAAGTCTTTAGTCCAAATAACTTAGTAGCTATTTGAAAAAATTATAACAAAAGTTGAAAAAAAATCAGTATATTTCACTGTTAAGTGTGTGCCTGTCAGACATTGCACAGTTTCTCATACTTTGGAATCAGGTTGACATTGCCACTCTCACTTCCTGTTCCACATTGATTTTGCATCCTTATTTAGCCCTTTTGAGCACAGCAACCTCTGAAAACCCAGTTTTGCAAAGATGAAATCATCAAAAGGAATAGAAGGTGATTTAACGTTGAAACCGTGAATTGCCTCAAGCTAGGCGTTCTTGTAGTGCCTGACAGATGTCAGCGATCCCCATGTTCCCTCAAGTTAAAATCTCCCTGGTGCACGGGTGAGCTTATTCACATGTTCTGTGCTCTTACTAGGATGTAGTAATCCCTCACTGACTGCATGCTAGCTCTTCCAGTTATTGTTGTTATTACTGTGCTATCACAGTGACTAGTACTGTTAATTAAATTCTCTGATTCCAGACAAACAATTATTTGGTGATTTCCATTTATGTTCCTGGTATGTTTTATTAACGAAGAGTTTACATCAAAGTATAACATGTTTTAGTGGCTTGATCTTGTTTATTGATTAAAATCAGTGTTTGAAATGCTGAGTATTTTATCCTTCTATCTTTTTTTTGTTTTAGTATCTTAACAGTAACAGATGTGGCAAATATGTGGACACTGGATTCTTAGCATCTGATTTGCAAAGAATGTACAGGTAAAGAAATGTAGTCTGCAAATCCTTGCTTTTCTTTCCTACCTCTTTTAAAGTTTCTATCCTGCCTAAATTTCTAATTGCTTTTGATACCAGCTGCCATCAGATTACCAGTCCGTAAACTTGGAATTCAATTCAGTTGTACAAACATTTGTCACACACCTAGTATATGCAAGGAGCCGTCCTTGTTACTGTGGGGAATGGCTAATTCTTAGCTTTCAGTATCTCTCAACTGGTCTGAATAGAGATGTTAATATATTACTTCCTACTTTATTAAAGAATTAAAACCTCCAGGCATCATCTCCCTCAGCATCCTGACTCTTTATCTAGAAATGTGTCACTCAACTATTCCTCCCACTGAAGACTAAATCCTTCTGTGCCTCTAATCCCACCCCTTCTGATATTTGCTTCATTAATTATCTCTGTTTTGTAAGTTTCAGTCTCTATTTTCTTTTCCTCATACTGTAAACAACTACAGGTCTCTAAGTCTCTTCTAGTCTTGAAGAAAAAAAAGAGCACGCTAAAACAAAAGGCCTTTAAAAATTTTGTAACACACTTTGACTAAAAACCGAAACCAAACGCATTGCTGTTGAGTCGATCCCGACTCATAGCGACCCTATAGGACAGAGTAGAATTGCCCCATAGAGTTCCCAGGGAGTGGCTGGTGCATTTGAACTGCCAACCTTTTGGTTAGCAGCCAAGCTCTTAACCACTACCCCACCAGGGTTTCCCCGCTGTAACTACCACCCAGTATTTCTCCTCCCCTCCATCAGATTTTTTTTAAAGAGTGGTCTAAGCTTACTTACTGTCATCTCTATCACTCACTCTACTGAAATGTATGAATTGGCGTTTTTTTGTAATTTCTTTGTTTCTTTTTTTAATCTTAGTTGATAGTACAACTACCTCCCCAGTCACTTAGGTTCAAAACCTTTGTGTTGTCTTCCCCCTTCTACTTAACCTGTACCCCCCACCCCACCACTCCCATGTGCCTGCAGTTACCAAACCTTGCTGTTACCTCTTAAATATTTCTTGGAGCCTGTTCTCTCCTTTCCCAGCACATTACTTGCCTAATCCAGGCCCTCATTATTTGTTGTCTGGATTTCTGTTTCAGCTTCTAAGCTATGTCTAACCTGCCTTCCTTTAATCCAGGGGTTGGCAAACTATGGCCCTCTGGTCATATCTGGCCTGCCACCTTTTTTTCATATGGCTCGTGGGCTAAGCATGGTTTTTACATTTTCAAGTGATTCGGAGGGAAAAAAAAGAATGTTTCATGATTCATGAAAATTATATGAAATTCAAAATTCATTGTCAATAAATAAAGTTTTATTGGGATGCAGCCACACTCACTCCTTTACATATTGCTTTTGCACCACAAAAGTAGAGCTGAGTAGTTGCAACAGAAATCATATGGCCCTCAAAGCCTAAAATATTTGCTGTATGGCCCTTTACTGAAAAAGTTTGCTGACGCCTACTTTAATCCGTTGGTTCTCAAACCCGTCAGCACTCAGGCCTAACGAGACATATAAGACATAATGACAGTCCCGTGGTTGAACCTATTTATAGAGTAAGTGTGAACACAAGAACTACAGGAGCAGCCCGATACAGATGTGTTCTGTTGGTATCTCAGATGCCATGGACAACAGTGTTGTCAGAAGTTTCTGAAATGATGAACAACAGATAAGATAAAATGAAATCTCTCAGTTTATAAAGCAATTGCATTCCTAAAAAATGCAGTGTGTCTTAAAACCATGCAGAATAGACCTTGGGTTTACATGTACAGCAGATGGAGTCTAGCTTAGGCAACTAAACAGATTTTTCACCTACGTGAGTGTCTGGCAGAAAGTTCCAAAATCACGAGGAAGCGACAGTTTTTCTTTATGTGGAATTGTTCTGCGTGTAGAAGGATATCCACCAGCCGTCGTCCTCACCCACTTAATGTCCGTAATGCTCCCCAGTCATTGCGGTCACATAAAATGCCCCCTCAGATTTTCAAAATGCCCCTGAAGGATGGTACCTCCCTTGTTGAATATCACTGTTCTACCCCATCCTAACCACAGCCACGAAAGTGATCTCCGCAAAATGCATATTTAACCTTATTATTCCCCTGTTTAATGCCCTCACCTCTCCCTCGCACGTACCCGTGATTTTCGATCACTCTGCAGTATAAACTCCACCTCTTCAGTGTGGTTTAAAGGCCTTCCTGGTCTGGTTCCTCCTTATCTCCCTGCCTTGCACTATCTGGGCCAGTAACCCCTATGACCACTTTGTAATTGCACACACACACACACCATGTTGTTTCTTCTTTTTCTTAGCTCATGCTGTGACCTCTTCCTAGAATCCCCTTCCTGCCCACTCCCCTTTCTCCTTCCCACCAACCCCCCAGCCCCCCACACAGAGTAATCCAGATTCTTCTCTCTGCTCCCATGCTTCTCTCTGTCATTGGACTTACCGCAGTGTGTTTGTGTCTGTCTACCCCACTGGGCAGAGTACTTACAGAGCCTGAATAGTACCTTATTCATCTTCAGGGTCCCAGCCCTTGGACAATTCTTGGAGGGAGGCAGACACTCCATGTTGACAATTCTTGGAGGGAGGTAGACACTCCATGTTTGTTGATTGAATTAAAGGAGTTGGATGAATGAGTGACTGAGTGAACGAATGACTATCAGTTCTTACACAGCTTATTATAAGTACTCAAAGTGAAGTGCTGTGAGAGAGGGCAGATGAGTTCTGTGTAGGGGATTGTGACAAGTCTGTTGGAAAGGCTTATTGAGGAAATAATTCTTGTGCTGCATCTGGAGTAATAGAGAACAGATGGCTTCGGAGAGAGCAGTTCACGCAGTCATTGTAACACGTTCTTGCACCCTCACTGTTCATTATTACATCTTCCTGTAGCACTTTCATTTTCTTTCCTTTTTATTCTTTCTTTTTTTTGAGTGGATAATATATTTGAATAGTTTCAAAATTACGCACAGCTACTGTGAATAATTACCAACGTAAGGTTTGCCAAGCCAGCAGGGGGTGTGCCCACATGCTTGATATGTGGGCTTTTCTTCCCTTATTGAAAGTTAAATTTCAAAGGTATCAGGGCCATTAATGCTCATTTTAGCATGAAGAAGGTTTTTTTTTTTTTTTTTTTTAAATCCTTGTCATTCCAATCCCATCAAGATTGGAGTCAAATATATGGGTAGAGAAGTTTATATGTGAACTCAGTTTGCGAGAAGTGGATTCTTGGATCATTTAATAGCAGGATGCTGTAGCCCATTTTCAGAGATACTGAAATTCCGTCTCATTCTAGTGATTAGGTATAGTGAAATGTAACAGGACAAAATAATATCATGATAACAGGATTTATGCTAGAGTGTCCATCATGCAATCTTTCCCCTTTTGTACTGTCAGCGTCTCTAAGAGACATGGTGAGTTTTTAAATTTTCATGATTTAGCAGAAATTTCTTGAATGCTTATTATATATAAGTGTGTTTCATATCTAGGACATACGAAAATGAATGTGAGTCAGATGCTCACAGTCCAAAAGAGGAGGAGGATAGACGAACAGCCACCAATGATTATAAAACAAACGATAGGCCAAATATTTCGATGAAGTGACAGTATGTTGTTGTTGTTAGGTGCCATTGAGTTGTTTTCAATTCATAGTGTCTTCATGGGACAGAGTAGAACTGCTCCATAGCCGTAGTCTTTACAGAAGCAGATTGCCAGGTCTTTCTCCCTTACAGCCACTGAGTGTGTTGAACTGCCAACCTTTCGGGTAGCAGCCAAACGCCTGTTTACACCGGTATAGAGAAGTTTGTTTTTTTTGTTTAGTCCTAGAGAATGGAGGAAGGTCGCTAGTTGCACAAACAGTTTGCACCCGCCTGCTAATCTAAACATTACTGGTTCAAACCCACCCAGTGGTAACGTGGAAGAAAAGACCTGGTGATCTGCTTCTGCTAAGATTAGAAAAACCCAAACTCTTTGCTGTTGAGTTGATTCTGACTCATAGTAACCCTATAGGACAGAGTACAACTGCCCCATAGGGTTTCCAGGGAGCAGCTGGTCGATTTGAACTGCCAACCCTTTGGTTAGCAGCTGAGCTCTTAACCACTGCACTGCCAGGGCTCCTTGCTAAGATTATAGCCCAGAAAACCCCATGGAACAGTTCTGCTCTGTAACACATCAGGTCACCATGAGTTGGAATCAATTCGACAGCAGCTGACGACAACAGGGAATGGAGGGAGAATCTTATGTATCAATGAATGAGTTTTAGTTTTTAACATTCAAATATTCCATATAAAATGCTACAGTAAAACCTGCGAGAGCCAGAACCCATAAAAGGCAGAGACCTGTCAGAGGAGGAAAACTAAAATACCTTCCACTAATAATAATAGCAATAGAAAAGTGGTGAGACTGTATGTACCCTGTCAAAGGTGGAAAACTCGTGAGACCTGGAAAAAACAAACCAGTTCTGTCGAATTCAGCTCTCACAGGTTTCACTGTATAAATTCTTTATGTTCTGTATATTCTTAGTTACAGAGCCCTGATGGCGCAGTGGTTTAACGCTTAGCTGCTAACCGAACAGGTGCCCCATGGGAGAAAGATGTGGCAGTCTCCTTCCATAAAGATTTACAGCTTTGGAAACCCAATGGGACAGCTCTACTCTGTCCTGTAGGGTCACTATGAGTCGGAATCGACTCGATGGCACACAGCAACAACATCCTTAGTTACTCTAGCTTTTTTTAAGTGGGTAGTTTTTTTTTTTTTTTAAGATCTTAGCATCATACTTGTGCTTCTGTTTTTGTTATTATCATATTTTCTACATTATCTTCTTAAGTTACGTAAATGTTGGCCTGCTTGGGTCGCTATGAGTCAGAATCGACTCAACGGCAGCAGGTTTGGTTTTTGGTTTTAGCTGCCTTTGGTTGAGTCTTTTTAAATTCAGTTTAGAAAAGGGTTTCCTTTTGAGAGACGTAAAGTTTAGTGCCCTGAATATTGACTCTCACTTGGTAAGCAGCTCTTGCTAGATGTCAGTGTATTTCAGTGCGTATAGTAACAGATACCTTTGTTTGTAGTCATATTTTGCATTCTGTTTCTCCCATTTGAATGATTTGCTGACAGAAGTATCATGACTTTGTGATTTATATTCCATTTTTGAATCCTTTAAATACCTGATATTTAAAAGCATAAAAACCAAAACCCCACTGTTGTTGAGTTGATTCCGACTCATAGCAACCCCATAGGACAGAGTAGAACTGCCCCGTAGGGTTTCCAAGGAGTGGCTGGTGGATTCGAACCGCCGACGTTTTGGTTAGCAGCCGAATGCTTAACCACTGCACCACCAGGGCTCCTAAAAGCATATAACTACCTTAAAAAGAAAGCCTTTGTATTGATACGTTAACATTGCTTTAACATATTTTGCTTGTTACTTTTTAAAAATGACCATGATTAAATATAGTGTTTGCTTTATTTAAAACCTTTTATTTTGATATAATTTCACGCTTACAGAAAAATTGCAAGAATGGTACACGAAGAACTCTCATGTACTCATTACCCAGAGTGTCCCTTTATATATACTACGGTATCTATTTCCTAAGAACGAGGACTTTCTCTTGCATAATCAGAGTTCATTTTAGAAAACCAGAAAGTGTACATTGGCACAGATATCATTTAACCCTGTATTCAGATTCAGGAGCCCTTGTGGCTCAAGCTGCTAGGCAGAAGGTCCTATCAGGTCACTGTGAGTCGGAATCAACTCAGTGGCAAGGGGTTTGGGTTTTATTCATATTTAAATTTCACCAGTTGTCTCAATAATGTCCTGTATAGCTATCGTGTCTCTCTCTCTCTCTCCCCACCTCCCACTGAAATCCAGGATCACACATTGTTCTTTCTCTTTAATCTCCTTTAATCTGGAACAGTTCCTCAGCCTTTCTTTGTTTTTCATGATCTTCACATTTTTGAACTTGACAGAATTTTATAGAATGTCCTTCAGTTTGGGTTTTTCGGGTGTTTTCCCATGATTAGAATCAGGTTATGCATTTTCGGCAAGAATACCACAGAAGTGATGTGACCTCAGCGGATGCATAATGTCTGTCTGCGATGTTACTTGATGATGTTAATTTTGATTTTAAGATTATATTTGCTAGATTAAGCCACTCTAAATTAATTTGAAATTAATAATTTATGCAGAGATGCTTTGAGACTGTAACTATTCTGTTTCTCAGCAAGCTTTCACTCACTATTTTTAGCATAAATTCTTGTCTGAAATGTTTAACTTGAATTTAATAATGAGGAAACGTAAATCTAGATTGTTGGACATTTTACAAATTAGTTGATCTAGAGTCTTCAGAAATGTCAGGCGCGCGCAGAAATTAAAGGCTTCTAAAGAGAGGGGCCTGGGTGGTGCAGTGGTTAAGAGCTATGGCAAGCTACAGCTGCTAACCAAAACGTTGGCACTTTGAACCGGCCAGCTTCTCCTTGGAAACCCTATGGGGCAGTTCTACTATGTCCTGTAGGGTTGCTGTAAGTCGGAATCGACTGGACGGTAGTGAGTTTTTTTTGGTAAAGAGATGGGGGAGCCCTGGTGGTGCAGTGGTTAAGAGGTATGGCTGCTAACCAGAAGATCAGTGATTTGAACCCACCAGCCACTCTATGGGAGAAACATGTGGCAGTCTGCTTCCGTAAGGATTTACAGCCTTGGAAACCCTCTGGGGCAGTTCTACTCTGTCCTACAGGGTTGCTATGAGTAGGAATCGACTCAAGGACAATGTATTTAAAGAGATAGGGCAGCCAAATGCAACACATAGCCTTGACTGAATCCTGGATTAGAGCGAAAAGAGCTATAAAGAACATTTTGGTAAAACAATTTGGGAAATCTTAATATGGACTGTATATTAGATAATATTTTATCAGTGTTAAATTTTTTGTGTGTGCTAATGGTATTGTTATGTAGGTATTGTTGTTTTTCAAAGATATGTGCTGAATATTTCGGGGTTAAATTTCTGCAACTTACTTTTAAATGGTTCTGCCAAAACGAAATTAATTCTATATGTAGAGAGAAGTAAAGCAAATATGGGAATATGTTAGCAATTTGTGGATAGAGTAGATGGTGATCACTACATTATTTCTCGCTTTTTAGTAGATTTGAAATTGCAAAAGAAAAAAGACCTAATAAAGAGAAAAATGATAGAGAAAAATCACAGTTATGAAAATACAAACTTAGAAAGTTGTCTGAAAATAGGTTAATGAGCATTGTGAATACAGTGGCATATTTAAATATTTGCACAAACTTACGTGATCCTTTTAGATTGAAGTTAGTGGGAAAATATTGGTGGAGACCAGTTTACCAATCTTCTTGTTATTTTTTTCAGTGTAGACTATGGTCGAAGAAAAAAAAATGCTTTCAGGATTCAGGTAGAAAAAGGTGAGTCTTCTAGTGTTAGAGCTGAATTATCAATAATGTCATAGAAAAACGGTTTTGGCTCATGGCAGTTTTCTTTTTGTTTCAGTGTTTAACATAATTAGTACTGAGAAGAAACTTAAGGATCTAACAGAATTAGAAGGTGAAAATCTAGCAAAAAGATCAAGACAAGGTGAAGAGGATAATGAGTAAGTATGATAATGTGGGATTTTTTTTTTTTTTTTTTTTTTTATTCTAAAACATGAACCTGTTCACATTATGTTCCTGCTTGTAAAACTTAGAGTGGCCCTTCATTGCCCACGGAGCTCTACATAATCCTTACCTGACCTCTCCAGACATTTGCTTCAGCCATACTGAACAGCTTGCTATTCCCCTAAGAGGTCACATTCTTGCTTTGACTGTGTCCTTGTGTGGGTGGTTTTCTGTATCAGGAATTCTCATTTCCACTTCACAAGCTCCGACTCAGCCTTTGAGAGTCAGCTGAATTTTTATTGCCTCTGTTAGGCCCTCCTAGACTCCTTTCTTAGTCTTTCTTTAGGCCCTACTTATGGATATTTATTATAACGCTTATCATATCGTACGACATTAAAGTTACTAGTTTACTTGCTTGCATTACCTGCGTTATCTTTATTTTTCTCTGCCCTAATAGAATGCCAGATGCATAAAAAGGTGCAAATTAATTTTGTTGTCCAAGAAATAATGTTACTGAGTTTGTTTTTAAAATTACTTTATTGAAGTATTGTTTGTCATATAATAAACTATACTTTTTTAAGGTATAAATTTGATGAGTTTGACACGTGTACACCATGATACTATCACCATAGGCACAATATCAAACATTTCCGTCACTCCCAAAGGTTTTCTTGTGTCCCTTTGCGATTCATTCCTCCCTCCACCCCTGGCCTCAGGCAGCTTTCTGTCACTGTACATTAGTTTGCATTTTCCAGAATTTCATCTAAATAGAATCATACAGTATGTACTTTTAAATTCTGGATTGTTTCACTCTGTAATGATTTGGGGATGTATCCTGTTGTGTGTATCATTAGTTCATTGGTTTTTATTGTTGTGTATGTGTGGATAAGCCACCATTTAACCATTTATCTGTTGGACGTTTGGGTTGGTTACACTCTGGGGCTATTATGTTAAAGCTCCTGTGAACATTGGTGGGCTAGTCTTTGCGTGGATAGTGTTTTCATTTCTCTCGGTAAATACCTAGGTGTGGAATATCTGGGTGATATGGTAGGCGTACATGTGACTTTATAAGCTGCCAAGCTTATTTCTCAAGTGTTAACCGTTTTCCTTGTTAGATCAGCAGTGTATGAGAATTCCATTTGTTCCACATTTTGTGAACACTTGGTATAGTCACACACACACCAGTTACTGTCAGGTTGATTCTGACTCCCAGGTGACACCATGTGTTGCACAGAGTAGAACTGTGCTCCATAGGGTTTTCATCTTCAGGAAGCATATTGCCAGGCCTTTCTTCTGGGGCGCCTCTGGGTGGGTTCAAACCACCAATCTTTTGGTTAGTAACCAAGAATGTAATCGTTTGCACCACCCAGGGACTCTGGTAAGGTCCGTCTCTTTAATTGTAGCCAGTGTGGTGAGCTCCTAGTGGGTCTACAGAGGTATTTCATTTGTGGTTTTAATAAGCATTTCCCTAACGACTAATGATGTTGAACATCCTTTCATGGATGTCTTGGTTATCTAGAGCTGCTACAGCAGAAATACGGTAAGTGGATGGCTTCAACAAAGAGAATTTTATTCTCTCACAGTCTAGTAGGCTAGAAGTCCAAATTCAGGGCGTCACCTCCAGGGGAAGGCTTTTTCTCTCTGTCGGCTTTGCAGGGAGGTCCTTGTCATCAGTCTTCCCCGGCTGAGGAGCTTCTCAGCGCAGGGACCCTGGGTCCGAAGGATGTGCTGTTCTCCTGGCTCCTCTTTCTTGGTGGTGTGAGGTCCCCGCGTCCCTCTGCTCACTTCTGTTTTTTATATCTCAAAAGAGATTGACTTAAAACACAACCTAATCTTGTAGATTGAATCCTGCCTCGTTAAGTTAACTGCCGCTAATCCCAGCTCATTAACGTCATAGCGGTAGGATTTACAACATTTAGGAAAATCACATCAGATGCCAAAATGGTAAACAGTCACACGATACTGGGCATCATGGACTAGCCAAGTTGACGCACATTTCTCGGGGACTTAGTTCAATCTGTAACAGTGGGTTTATTGGCCATTTCTTCTTCTTCTTTTTTGTATGGGAAGTGTCTGTTCAAATCTTTTGCCCCTTTACTTTTGTAAGTTTGTACCACCCAGGGGGAAACGATCCAGTCTTTCACCCTAAGTGTGATGTTAGTGCCGGGTTTGTTTTCATTTATTTAGTGCCCTTTATCAGATTGAAGGAGCCCTGGTGGCGCAGTGGTTAAGCAGTCGACTGCTAACTGAAAGATGGATGGTTTGAAACTACCAGCTGCTCCATGGGAGAAAGATGTGGGAGTCAACTTCCATAAAGATTTACAGTCTTGGAAACCCTGTGGGGCAGCTCTACCCCGTCCTGTAGGGTCGCTATGAGTTGGAATCAACTTGATCGCAGTGGGCTGGGTTTGGTTATCAGACTGAGAACGTTTCCTAATATTTCTAGTTTACTGAATTTTTATCGTGAATAGGTGTTGTGTTTGTCAAATGATTTTTCTGCGTCTGTTGAATGAGCTTATTATGGCTTTACCCTTTATTAATTTGATGAATTACATTGAGTTTTGAGTATTAAAGCAATCTTGCATTCCTGGGATAAACCCTTCTTGGTCCTTTTATATATTGCTGGATTCAGTTTGCTAGCTTTTTGTTAAATATGCTTGTGCAGATATTCATATTGGTCTGCTCCTCCCTCTCTCTCTCCTTTCCTCTTTTCCTTCCTTTTTTCCTTCATTCCTCCTGCAGCAGCATCTTTTTGTCAAGTTTTGCTATTAGGATATATTGCTCTCAAAATTAGTTTGAAAGTGTTCTTTTGTTCTCTGTTTTATGAAACAGCTTGTGTAATGTTAGTGTTATTTTTTTCTTGAATGTTTGTTAGGATTCATCCAGAATTAATCTGTACCTAGAGTTTCCTTTTTGGGAAGGTTTTTGATAAATTTAATTTCCAAAATAGACATAGAGCTCTTCAGATTTTCTGTGTCAATTTTGGTAAGGTTTTTTTTTTTTTTTTTTTTAATTTGTCTATTTCATCTAAGGTGTAGAATTTGTTGGCGTAAAGTAGTTGGCAATATTCTTTTATCCTTTTAATGTTTGTAGAATCTGCGGTGATGACCCCTTTTTCATTCTTGGTGTTGGTGATTTGTGTTCTCTCTCTTTTCTCTTTATCTGTCTAGCTAGTGGTTTGTCAATTTTGCTGATCTTTTTTTAAAAAAAAAAAGCTAAAAAGATTTTAGCTGGTTGTTTGTCGATTTCTGCTGTTATCTTTATTATTTGCTTTCTTCTTACTTTGGGTTTACTTTGTTCTTCTAACTTCCTAACAGGAAGCTTAGATGATTGATTTAGACTTCTTTCCTAATGTAAGCATTCAAAACTCTTACGTTTTCTTGTAAGTACTGATTTTGCTACATCCCACAAATTTTGATGTTCTATTTTTTATATCATTCAGTTAAAAATGTTTTCTGATTTGTCTTGTACTTTGTCATTGACCCATGTGGTTTTTAGTTTTCAAATATTTATGGTTTTCTTCATTATTTTTGTTACTATTTATTGATGTTTTTATTTATAATACCAACACTTGCTCATTTTTTAAAGATTAGAAAGAAGAAAATTAGGAATGGAAGAGGAAAAAAATTAAAATTACCCTATATATCATCCAGAGACAACCACTGTTAACATTTTGGTGTTTTTCCTTTATTTTTCAGTGTATGTATATACACATTTTTTAAACTTTTTATTTTGAAATAATTTCAAACTGACAAAAATAATAAGAACAGTGCTCTTGTATATTTTTCCTCCTAGATTGTCTCTTTACCCTGTAACATATCAGTGTATATTTCCTGAAAACAAGAATATTTTCTTACATACTCACAGCACAGCTATCGAATTCAGGAAACTTTGGTACAGTTCTTTATCTCCGATTTCATCAATTATTCCAATAATGTCCTTGATAGCAATTTTTTTTTTTTTTAAATCTGGTCTGGAATATAGTCTAAGATAAGTATTATATTTAATTGTCATGTTTCTTTAGTGCCCTTTAATCGGGAATGGTTTCTTAGTCTTTAGTTGCCATTGACATTTTGAAGATGTTTTACAGAATGTCGCTCAGTTTGAGTCTGTCTGATGTTTCCTATTGATTTAATTCACTTTATATACTTTGGCTGGAATTCTACACATTGTTCTGGTTATCAATTGCCACATTCCAAACACACCCCACAATCAGTGGCTTAAAACAACATCTGTTTAATTTTAACTCATGATTTATGGATCAGGAATACAGACAGGGATCGGCTGACTGATTCTGTTCCACATAGTGTTGACCTGGGTCCCTTGGTGGTATTCAGTTGATGGCTGGTCTGGTCTGGAGGATCTGAGATGTCTTTACTCATTTGCTTGGTATTTTTCTGGGGATGACTGGAGAGCTGGGATCAGCTGAGCCCTCCTACTTCTGTGTAGTTGCAGAGCCTCTCCACATAATCTTCCTGTGTGGTAGTCAGGCTTCTGACATGGTGGCTAAGGATTCCAAGAATGAACGTTCCAAGAAACAGGAGGTTGAAGGCAGCCAGTCTTAAAGAGACTGAGCTGGAAACTGCACAGTGTCACTTCTGCCATATTCTGTTGGTCAGAGCTCTCACTCTATCTACCTGCGTTCTAGAATAGGACGCACAGACTCCTACTTTTCAGTGAAAAGAATGTCAAAGAATTTGTGGTCATATTTAATCTGCCACAGTGAAATATTGTGTCCTTGTTAGGGTATTACATCTGGAGACAGAAGGTGTTTGTCCTGTATTGATGATTTTAATTTTGATCACTTGGTAAAGATACTGCCTGATTTGTCCACTGTGTAGTTACTATATTTTTTCTAAGTTAGTTATTTGTGGAAAGATTAACTTCTTTTGATATATGCACTGTTGTGTAAAAGGTGGCTTTTTTTTTAAGCTATAATTATGAATAATTTTCACAATATTATATATTCTTGTAGAACATGAATATTTAGATACGCACTTTTTTTCTTCTCTTGGATTTACCATAACTTTCTTAACTAGGTCTATATTCTTGGACATTTGGTTGTTTCCAGTTTTGTACTATTATATAAATAACCCCTCAGTGCATACATCTTTGTGCATATTGCATATTGTTTTCTTATGCTAAATTCCTGGAAGTAGAATTTCTAGAGTAAAAGAGATTCATATTTTTGAAATTTCTGGAACGAATTGCCCTTCAAAAAAGGTTGCTTTGATTTGTACCCCACCAACTTTTGTTTAAAGGGTGCCCATTTCTCTGTTCCCTTGCAACCCTAGTTATGCTGTTGTTTAACCTTTGCCAATTTTATAGTTAAAAATTTAGTCATATCCTTATTTGTAATTTTTTTTATTGTGGTGCAAATATACACAAGAAAACATTTCACTAATTCAGATATTTCTACGTGTACATTTGAATGACATTGATTCCACTCTTCATGTCTTTTTCCTAATCCTGCTACTATTAATGTAAACTCAGTGCTCCCTTATTTGTAATTTTTTTGATAACTAGTAAGGTTAAATTTTTTTGGCACTTTCATGTTTCCTTTGTCTGTTATGAGTGAGGTACTTGAATTTTCCTTATTATCAGAGCTCTTTGTTTAAAACATTGGCTCTTTTTTATATGTATTGCAAATGCTTTTCCCATTTTGCCATTTGCTTTTTATTTTTCTTTATAGTGTTTTTTGATTAGAGAAGTTTTCAGTTTTTACCTAGTCAACTCTGAGAAGTTTTTTTCTTTGGTTTCTGCTGGTAAGCTTAGAAAGACTTTCTCTGTCACAGGGGTGTGTAATCACCTATGCTTTTTTTCCTATTCCTTTGAATTATGTTTAACTCCCTTTTCCAGTTGGAATTACTTTTATTTGTAGGACATGAATTGTAAGGCAAAATTATTTTTTTTCAGATAGTTGAATAATCCACCCTTATTCCATTTATTGGAAATGCCCTAATATTGATTGAGTTTAATGAATAAAAACAGAATTCATATCTTTTCATGTAGCATTCATGTAGACCTTTTTATTAGGAAAGGTCTTTTTTCTTAAATTATTTTCTAAATAATTTGTATTAAATAATAACAGTCCTGTAGTTACTTGAAGCCACAGGTTTAACTTTTGACGACAATGAACTGAGACTACGTTCTCCAGACCATTTGCAGTTATTAGGATTTATACTTATTTTTGCCACATCATAACGAAAGTTCTTTGATCCTTTATTCCTCATGAACAACCTTGAAAAAGTTGCATTTGATCATATGGCTTGGTCATGCTCACTTTGTAAACTTGTTACTTAACACACTTAATTATGACTTGTTATAGTATTTTTTCTACTTGAGTTTGATATTCCTAAATGAAACCCTTGGGTTTGATGGGAATTTGTGTTTCATTTTTACTTACTACTAGATTAAAATTAACCATAGTTTATTAAGCACTTACTGTGTACTAAGGACTGTGCAGGCATTTGTTTAATCCTTTAATAACTGTGAAGTAGGTATTATTTATTGTCTTCATTTTACAGGTGAGGAAGCTGAGGTTCAGGGTGGTTAGTTACGTAGAGGCTAGTAGCTGGTAAAGCTGGACTTTGAGTCCAGGTTTCCCCGGTTTCAAAACCTGTGCTGTTAAGCACCATACTCTTTTGTCTCAGTGAATTTTCTTGTTTTGGGTAGTAATTTTATTTGGAGGTGGGAAAAAAGCCTTTAAAACTTTTTTTTTCCTTTCTCTTTACTAAGGTATACTGAAAGCAGTTCTGATGATGATTCAGATATGGAAGATTACCCAGATCCACAGGTAAGTCAAACATTTAGTTGACCTATTTTGATTCTTATTTTAATCATTGTTAGTCCTTCTTGAAAAATTCAGTAAGCAATAAAATAAGAGACTTTGGACATCATCATCACTAATAAATACGTTCTATGTAGTGTTGATGAATTCTTGGATTAGCCATCCTTCTGGTATATGTATTTAAAACCAGTTATGCAGGAAAAAATAAAGAAAATGGCCAGAAATAAGAAGGGAAATTAATTGTAAAAATGGAGAAAATGTATTTTCTGCCAAGGAGCTGGTGTTGTTAATGAATAGGCTTGTTTTTAAAGAGGAGAATAGAAATATATGAAATTAGTTATAACTTGCTATTTTTTCTGTGTTGGTAATTCATTTTTTGAATTTTAGTAACAGGGATTTCAATACTCAGTTTTGAATTGATGGAATAGTAGTGACTTTCATTGTCTACCAGATTATTTACACACTTATACTTCTGTTTATTTATTTGACGTTTTTCAAAACAATGTTTTCCAAATTAAAGGAATTAAAAAAAAGCTTCCTTGGCCCTATTTCAGACCTAATCAATCAGAATTTCCAGAGGTAATAATACCTGAGTAGATATTAACTACAGTTTTAAAACACATTTATGTAGAGCAAAACGGATATTTATTATTTATTTACTTGTAATGGACGTTGAAGACATTATACTGAGTGAAATAAGTCAGTCACAAAAAGGACAAATATTGTATGACCTCACTTACATAAAACGACAAAAACAGGCAAATGCATAGAGGCCAAAGTTTATTAGTGGTTACCAAGGAGGGAGGGGAAGGGAAGGGTTATTGCTTACAGAGCACCAAGTTTCAGTTTATCATGATGAAAAAATCACATTGATTACGGGGAAAGGTTACACAGCCAATTAATGTAATTGATGTCAATAAGTTGTACATCTGTACAAAGTTAAATTGGCAAATGTTGTGTGATAGATATATTTATAACAACAACAACAACAGAAAAAGAACAGCTACTGAGGTTGCTTGTGTACAACCAGACACCTCATGGGATTTAGTTTCTTGGTTTGGAGATTTAGGGTCATGGTTTCATGGGATATCCCAGTTAATTGACCTGATAGCGTGTTTAGTGCTTCTGTTCTACCTCCTAGTTCATTGCATAGTGCCTGGGATCTTAAAAGCTTGCAAGCTGCCATCCAAGGCACAACAGTTGGTCTCTGTTCACCTGGAGCAACAGAGGAAGGAGAGTCAGGAACAGGAAGAGGAAATGGAATGTGTGGCTAATTGTCTCCATGAACAACTGCCTCCTTTGACATGAGATCAGAAGTGGATGGTGCCCAACTACCATTACTGGATGTTTTGATCAAAGATTCTATAGAAAAATCCTGATCAAAAGGGGGAAAATGCAGAACAGAATTTCAAATTCTTATGGAATCCAGGCTTTCTGGACACACTGAGGCTAATTGAACCCCTGATTAAAGCTGTTGCCCTGAGATCATCTTTAAACCTTAAACCAAAAATATCCCCTGAAATCTTTAAGCTAAACAATAAACCAGAAAACCAAACCCATCGCAGTCAAGTCGATTTTAACTCATAGCAACCCTATAGGACAGAGTAGAACTGCCCCATAGGGTTTCTAAGGCTGTAATCTTTACAGATTCAGATTGCCACATCTTTTTCCCTTGAAGCGGCTGGTGGGTTTGAACTGCTGACCTTTTGGTTAACAGCCAAGCACTTAACCACTGAGCCACCAGAGCTCCTAAACCAAACAGTAGTCTAGCTTAATTAGTAAAGAATGTCTGCCTTGAGCATTGTGCTCTTAAAAACTATCTATATGGAATCAAATTGACAACAGCAACTGGAAAGATTAGACAGGAAACTTAGGGGCCTGTATGTTTATATTAATGGTGGGGGAAGCAGTTCAGAAAAGGAGTTTGAGAATGGTTGCACAGTAAAGAATGTAACCCATGTCACTGAATTCTGCATGGAGAAATTGTTGAATTGGTATAAGTTCTGCTGTGTATATGCCTAACAATAACAAATGAAAAAAAAAAGACCATCAGATAATAAGCCCAATTTTATAGTAACAAGCTGATGAGGTTTAGGTACTTTGCTATATTTGCATTAATGTTTTTAATACACATTCTCACTGTAAAATAAACAAAATTGCATGTTTATTATAAATAATTAAAATATCATTGAAATAAATGATGCAGAAAATAGATCTTTATTATTCCCCTCGCCATAAATGAGCACTGTCAGAAATTTGGTGCGTGGTCGTTGAGAATATTTTTCTTTTAAACCTATGTTCTTAGTCACGATTCTACACCTCCTCTTTATTCATTTATCTAGTTATTTTTAATTACCTAAATGCATTGTCATTAAAGCAACTGTCTTTAGAAGAAAATATTAGTTATCTTTTTTACATCGGTGGGAACATATTTTTCTTTGTATGAGTCTATATTTATTGCATTGAATTGAAGACTTTGTGAATAAATTTAATAAGTCACGTTAAACCTTTATATCTTTCTACTTTGCTGTTAAGTATGCTCATGTTGTGTAGAGAAGAGAGTTAGTATGCATTTTCATCCTTGGCCAGGCTGGTTACGTGATTTATTTTGATTCTATCAAAGCCCGTGCATAGTAGTGTGTTTGGTAATTTGGGCTGAAGAATAAAGTGATGTTGGCCAGCTTTGATTTTATTAATGTTATTTATGTATTGGTTATTTATGTATTCGTCCATTACCTTGGAGTGGGGGGTACATTTTTTTAGATAGTAAAAGCTTGTTTGTGAATCATCTTATTGTGAACATTACGTTTTATAAATGTAAATGCTGTGGGAGAAGTAGAAGACAGGACATATGTAGAAAATTTATTAATAGAGGTGAGTAAACTTTCACGAGCACCTGTTGAATAATTTGTACTAAAATCATGTTTTTAACAGTCAGCCAATCACATGAACAGTTCCCTGCTCTCCTTGTATCGGAAAGGAAATGCTGATTCTGTTCCAAATACTTCCAAGATGGAGCAAAGAGAAACCACCACTTCAGCACCGCGGCTAACTTCCAAAACAGGCTCCGTTCCTTTGAAGACCTCTGCTACAGTTTCTGAAGGAGGATGGTTTATTGACAAAACCCCAGGTGGAACGAAAGATTGTTTTTTCTTGGACCTATCAGATGAGACAAGTAATCATGAGAAGCCAGTATCTGAGATACAGGTATCTTTGTTTTGAAATTCTAGCCCGGCTTAGTTGGAATATGTTACAGTCTTCTCATTGAATATCATATCAAGCAGATGCTTGTGTTTTGTAAAAGAATAGCAATTTTGAAATACATGCAGAACTTGACCACTGTCCACTATGTCCATCAATTCCATCCTAATTCAGGCTTCTCCTGTTGCTTGCCTTAACTGTTGTAGTCACCTCCCAACTGGAATCTGTGTCCATTCTTGGTCCCCTATCTTATTCTTCACACAGAGTTATCTTTTTACAAGTTAACACAGGACATCGTCATTCTACTTAAAACCCTCCAGTGGCTTAATTCTGCTTGAAACCAGAGATCTTACAGTTGCCAGTAAAGCCCTGCTGCCTCTTTAATCTCATCTCCTACTACCCTTTCCCCTGTACTTCACTTCAGCCACAGTGGCCTCTTGCTGTTTCTAGACTATACCAGGCATTTGCTGGAACCCTCTCTCCCCACACTCATATGGCTCACTCTGTCACTGCTCACACGTCATCTTGTCAGAGAGGCCTTACTTGACTTAGGGAAATAGCTCCTCACTGGGTGCTCTGTTTCCTAACCCTGCTTTATCTTTTTTCTTAAAGCACTTGTAATCACCTGACTTACTGGATAATTGCTTAGTTTTTGTTGTTTTCTTCTACCCTCTGTCTCCTTCCACTGCCGTGTAGGCCCTAGGAGAGCAGGACTTTGTTTTGATCAGTAATGTGTCTAAGCTGAAGTATCTCTAGCGTGTCGTTGTCAGGTGAATTTATGCCTAAGGAACTTCCTGAAATGCATTTACTAATAGTGAAAAAATAGCCCCTCTGGGTATGTATAACTGAGAGTTGATAGTTTTAGGTAGAAGGGAGGGTTGCCACTGAAATAGTAATGTGGTTTGTTTTCAGTTTAGGATAATCCCTTGAAGGATCCTACATAAATGGATATGATATGAAAATACAGAGAATAAGCAGGGTTTTTTTTTTTCACTCTTTAAATGGAAATATATATAAATAAAAGTAAAGTTTGATGAATTATCACACGTTGGCTACGTTCTTCAGTGACTCTAATGCTTGGCAAGATGAGAAGGGGTTTCAGACAAGCTTTGTTGTGATACAGTGGGCAGAGTGTGCTCTAGGCTCGCTGTCTACTGTGGTACGTGCTGGACACACGTGGCTATAGAGCATTTGAAATGTGACCAGTGCAACTGAGTAGCTGAACTTTTCATTTTATTTAATTTAAATTTAAAAACTGATAGTCAATTCAGTTATTGGAAAACTTTTAAGTATGTTTGGGACAACATGAGTATGTGACTCTACTTTTTCAGCTGGAAATTTGACGAAGCTAAGTATAAGTCCAGTAATTCCCATGAAATTTAGTGCTGTAAATGTAAAGTACACATTGTCTTTTTGAAGACTTACCACATAAAAAGAATGTAAACTGGCTTATTAATAATTTCTCACATTGAATTATATGTGGAAATGATAATATTTTGGATCTGTTACAATAAAACATTATCAAAGTTAATCGCCCTTTTTCCTTTTTAAAATGTGGCTGCTAGAATATGTAAAGTTGCATCTCTGGCTCACACTGTGTTTCTGTTGGACAGCACTGCTCCAGGTGGTTTCCAAGAACCAAGCCCTTAGATTTGGCAAAACTGTCCCCTTTTGATTTATATTAATGTGACTTTTCCAGATCTCTGTGTTTTAATCATCCATCTGTAGAGAACATTGTCAGGGTTGGCAAGGTCAAGAAACATGTTTGACTGTTCTGTTGAATTATACTGTTTTATGGCTGTCAGAAAGAGGATACCTAAGCAGCTGTATGGCCATACTTAATTCAGTGATTTATCAGACATCAAACGAACACCAACACGGCAGAGGCCTCAGTGAGGGATGAAAGATGGATGCTAGTGTCCTGACTCAAGCTCACAGTTCAGTCAGGGAGACAGACGAATGCAGCGTTCTGGGAGTGTGAGGAAGAGAGAAATTCTAACAGGCAGAATCTGGAGCAGAGGTTTTCACGTGTTAGCATTTAAAGTGAGTATTAAAGTAGGGAAGAATGACATTCTCGGCATAGGCCAACCTTGAGCAAAGCAGTTGGGAGTAGCCAGCAGAGGTGAAGGAGCTCTAGTGGCGCAGTGGTTAAGAACCCGGCTGTTAATCAAAAGGTTGGCAGTTCAAATCCACCAGCCGCTCCTTGGAAACCCTATGCGGCAGTTCTTCTCTATCCTGTATGGTTGCTATGAGTCAGAACTTGGCTGTAGTGGGTTTGGTTTTGGTTTTTAATAGAGGTGAAAGTTCTGGGGTAGGGATGAATTTCTTTATAATGCCGATCTCAAAAATTTAGGTATATTTACATTTCTTTTCTCTAGGATTCCAAAGATTCTTCTCTTCTGGAGAGTGATAAAAAACCAAAAGGCAGGCTAAAGAGCAAAGGAAGCAAAAGGAAGAAAGACCATCTTCAGGAAGTGGATGGAGAAATAGAAGCTGTCTTGCAAAAGAAAGGTGAGATGCGTGTCTTGTGGGTGGTCGAGTTTGCTTTGAGAAGAAATCACTCTCTCCCATGCTGTTTTGCTTGGAGGGCTCTCTGTATACGGAGACTTTTATTACAAAATACTTCAGTATCTAGTGGACCTTTGTTTTCTTGAAGATTAGCAAATGTAGTTATGAGTTATTACTAGTCTTCATCTCCCTTTTCTGCTTGGCAGCTAAAGCCAGGGGGCTAGAATTGCAAATCTCCAATGTGAAGTTTGAAGATGTTGGGGGCAATGATATGACACTAAAGGTTAGTTCAAATTCAGAATTCTACATCAAATGGGTATATTGCTAATCTGTCAGATGAACAAAGCCTACCTCTTTGTTTTTAAAATCAGCTGGGTATAGAAAAGGAGACTGGGAAAGTGAGAAGGGTAAACCTGACCCGTATCCTGCAAGGTACTGAGGGGTAAATGAAGCATACTGTCTGCGTTTCTCACCATTTTAATTAGAGTGTACTAAGATACATACTTTGTCAGTAATATATTAGTAGTACGAGAATAATGGTTACTATTTATTCTTCATCTCTCCTCTGTTCTAGTTGCCATGCTAGTTAGTTTTCATTATACCTGCAGGATATATAAAAACAAAAAAAAATTGCCATCGAGTCAATTCTGACTCATGGCGATCCCACGTGTGTCAGAGTAGAACTGTGCTCCATACGGTTTTCAGTGGCTGCTTTTTTGGAAGTAGGTCGGTCACCAGGCTTTTCTTCCGAGGCACTGCTGAGTGGACGCGAACCTCCAACCTAGCTGTTAGCAGCCGAGCATGTTAACCGTTTGAATATTATAGCCTATGAAACGAGAGCTTAGAAAGGTCTAGTGACTTGCCTGAAGTCACGCAATAGGGATCAGAACTGAGATTCAAACCCAGGTCTAAAGCTTATTACTCTCTCTACTATATTTTGCTGCTTCAAAGAATAGGACATTTAATTCCACTTGGTTATTTCTCTTGGACTGTGAAAGACATTTTTCCTGCTTATTCCCTGCCAGGAAGTCTGCAAGATGCTCATACACATGCGTCACCCGGAGGTGTACCAGCACCTGGGCGTCGTCCCCCCTCGAGGAGTTCTCCTTCACGGGCCCCCAGGCTGTGGGAAGACATTACTTGCTCAAGCAATTGCTGGGGTGAGGCTGACACCTGTATGCTCTTGGTATTTCTGTCGTTTTTTTCTCCTTGATCAACTTCAGCTAGACTTGGCATCCCTCAAGAGGAGAATATGGCCATTAAGAACTGACCCTCTTTTCATTTGACCTTTTTCATGCAATAGTTTTTTTAAAAATATATCCAGTTGTTATTTATATGGGAAGGATTTGGTGGAAAGTGAAATAATATAGCCACAAACACCACCCCCCCCTTTTTTTCAATATGTAGTTTACTTTTTAGTTACTTCTCTTAACAATGATTTCCCTTTAAGCCAGTGGTCTCAAGAGCAGTAAAATAAGAAAACTAAAATTGTATTTTTTGTAGAGCTAAATTTATTCAAAATTTCAATTCAGAGTTATGTTCTTATACTTTTTAGTGTTAAAACCGCCTTTCTTTCTAAACTGTTGATGATAGATACTTAAATTGGCAAAATATAAAGGTAGCCGTCTTATTTTAGCCCGTCAGATTTTCCAGGAATTGTACTGGAGAGTGAACTACAGAACATTCAGGTGACTTCAGTTAGAAGAACACGTACTATTCCAGTCATTAAAGGCTAGTGCTCTCTGAAAGAAAGTAACTTTTCTAGAGGCACTTGATAGTTTTGCTTCATTTATTCATTTACTGAACAAATCTTTATCGTCTGCTGCGTGTCAGACATTGGGATATATTGGTGAGTCCAGCCAACCCAGGTCTTATCTTTAGGGAGTTCTCAGTCTGGGTATGTGACAGATGTTAAATAGTCATACAGATAAATACTGCAGAGAGTTACATTTACAGTAAGTGGAAGACAGAAAAGTGTGGAGTGCTCTGTGCTGTGTACATGAAATACTCCAGTTAGATTTGGGAGTCAAGGAAGATATAGTTGAGGAAGTAAAATTTCAGGGTAGCCAGATAAACGAGGAAGAGTTAGCCAGACTCGTTACCATTTGTACCGGTGGGACAACAGTAGTTTCTCTTCCTTGTCTTAAAGGGCCTGCTTTCTCTCTCTAGTAATTTGCTATTCTCTAAGTTAGGGTGGAGAAATGTTAGTAAGATATGTGGGGATAGCTGTGTCACAAGCTGTTCTATTTCCTATCCAGCAGATTAGTGAACAGGTAAAATTATTTTGCTCAGTTCTAAGTGGAGGAATACATACATATTGAGATTCAAAACCCTTTAGTCAGAAGAGATAATCACAAAGTTCCATAGTCATGTATCTGTAAAGTAAAAACAGGCAGAAGGTGTCATGTTAAATGTGTTTAATTAAAACCCATAGATTGTTAAATAATGTTTTTCATTGGATCAACACGAAAAAGATAAAGTTCCTCAGAAAATGAGTCTTTTTAAAAAATGCCATTTTGATGGGGAGACTGAATAAGGAAAATGTAGGAAAGTTAAAATAATTTGATCATTGTTTTATGTATTTGTGCATAGGAACTTGACCTGCCAATTTTGAAAGTCGCTGCTACAGAGATTGTGTCTGGAGTGTCTGGAGAATCTGAACAGAAGCTGAGAGAACTATTCGAACAAGCAGTGGTGAGTCAGCTTATGACTTTAATGTCGGGTTGTCAGATGTCGTAAGATTATATAAATGATCCTGTTTTCTCTAACATTAGTGTCTCTTAACCCATTCGTTGGCCGTTGTTTTGCAAACATGGTAATTTGCTACTGATGATGGTTAAATATTTGAAGTAGATTTAATAATACAGATTGTCAGATAAAATAATCTGTTTAATCTGAAATCAAATGTAAATATAATTGGTGAGAAATTCTGGGCTGCAGCCAACAGTCATATGTTTGTGATATTTTTATTCACTTTTACTTTCCTCAGCTTAGGCTTGACAAAACAATTTACAAGCAACGTGCACATTTTTTAACGTTTAGGATTATCATTTTAGAAAAGCAACTATAGAAACGCCAGGATAAACTCTTCTGTTTGTATAATTGAAGCTGTGAAAAGATAATTCTGTAACCAGATTAACTGAAGATTGGATTTTATCCTAATTGCAGTTCATGTTACTAAATCTGGAAGTTTGAGAACTTCCCAGGAAGATGATGTTCGTGTCCAGTAAAGTTTTATCTTCAGTATAGTGTAGTTAAATGTCTGTACTTTCAGGTCAGAAAGCTGGCTTCATATCCCTTGTCACCACGCTGTTTGTGTGATCCTGGACAAGAGACTTGACCACTCTAACTCAGTTCCCTCACTAGTAGCCTGAGGTAATAATAATACCAAGGTCTCGTGGGGTTGTTGAGAGGATTAACTGAGAAGATTCTTTTAAAAGCATTGATGTAGTGCTTAGCACACAGCTAGTATGCACACTTCAACAGTCAATAGTCATCATGGCTGATGAGTAAAAAATGGCAAAAGTTCAATTTCATGCCATTATTTGCACCCCCATAGGTAGAGGCTGATGTACATGACCAATACAACTGTAAAGGCTGATATGAAATTAGAAGAGAAATTGTATTTTTGCAGTAACTGAGAAAGTATTTTACAAAACAGCGAGAACGGAGGGGCCACCTACTTGGTTTGACGTGAAGACATTAAAAAAGACGGGAGGACAGCGAAAGGATGGGAAGGGCACTGTGCCAAGCAAACTAAACTCCTTCAGTGTTCCTGTTTTTCAGAATGAGCTTGTTTTAATTGTTAAATTGACATGCACAGCCAGAGGACAAGTAGTAAATTTTGTGTGTTTAGTAAACACAATGATGGATGAAGATAAAGAGACAAATGGTATCTTTAGGTTGTTGGTTCTGTGTTTAGACGTCCTTCTGTATATGTTAACGGAACCAGTGCAATGCCTGACAGTAGGTGCTCAATAAATATATTGTCTAGCACCCACCCTTTTGGCCCCCTGTTACAGAATGAAAGTGAATACAATTAAATGTATGGATGAGAGAACAAAATGGTCATATCAGATCAAGCGGTTCTTTGTTGAAAACTGTGCTTTCTTCAGGCTAGATCCTGATGACTGTCACTTACTCTTTCTTCCTCTTTTTCTCATGCAGTTTTCCAGGTCACCATCAAATACTAATGTGCTTACTTTCTGAGGCGTGCTCTCTGTAAACTTTACTCCTTGGTTACTGAGTAATGCATCCAGCAGTCATAGGTGCTCTTTCGCAAACACTGTCATGAGGATTAGGGAAAGAGCCAGCTAGTGATGGGCCAGACTTCTTTCTCTTTACAATGTGGTGGTCCTCGTGGTTTTGGGGTGTCTTAGCCAGACTACCAGTCTGGATCTTAGCAATCATCTCCCCTCCTACCACTAAATAACTGAGAATGAACCGTGCTTTAGACTGAAAATCTAGATATTTCTACTTAAATTTTTCATTTTAACTAATCCTTGTATCTTAATCTTAACTTATTCTTCCTGAACCCTACCTGGTTTATCGCTGAGAGTGATCATAACCCACGCTGATGTGCTGGAGGTATTACATTCTTCCTTATCCAATATAGTCTTTAAAATGAGCTTCTGGTGCTTCTTAAATTCCTCTTACAGCAGATTCCACGGAAAAGCTTGGATATTTTTATACTGGTAGAAACACTCATACAACATTTTGTGGTAAGCGTGGGTTTTCTAGTTTAAAGTTTACAGTCTTATTGTTTATAGACTGACATTTCATAGCATAGCAAATATGTGTAATTTACAGAAGAATTTCATTAGATTTATCATCACAAAACATGAAAAAACTATAGATGCATTACTGTACGTGCAATCTTTTACTGTCCTCTTCTAAGCATGGTACTCAGATAAAAATTAGAAGTAATATATGTGAACGGCCTTCTTTAGATACGGTTCTTCTGCATTATTCTTTTGGTGAGTGATTGTTAACCTTTAAGATTTGAAAAAATGTATATAATTCTTAACTGAGGAACCCTGGTGGTGCAGTGGTTAAGCACTCAGCTGCTAACTGAAGGGTTGGTGGTTCGAACCCACCAGCTGCTGTGTGGGAGAAAGATGTGGCAGTCTGCTTACATAAAGATTACAGCCTTGGAAACCCTGTGGGGCAGTTCAACTCTGTCCTGTAGGGTCCCTGTGGCTTGGAATCCACTCCACAGCAGTGGATTTGGTTTTGGTTTATATACTTAACTACACTGCAGTATAGAGAATGTATTTATGAGTGTCTTGTGATATTCTTATTTCTAGTCAAGTGCACCATGCATCCTTTTTATTGATGAAATTGATGCTATTACCCCCAAAAGAGAAGTTGCTTCAAAAGATATGGAACGAAGAATTGTAGCCCAGCTCCTTACCTGCATGGATGGTCAGTTTAAAATAATGAATTCGTTTTGAATTAATAAGTTAGTAAGATAAGTAATAACATGAAAATATTATAAAACATTCAAATGGAGTAAAACTCAAATAGTGTAAAAAGCAGAAGCCTTTTTCTTTTCATATTATTGTGGTTAAGTTTTATCTTAGTTTTTTTTTATGTATTTATATACATATATATGTATACTAACATGTTATTTTGCTTTTTACACCGCTAGGATTGCACCATACAGATTGTTCTGTAACTTGCAATTTGTACCTTAACCATCTGTCTTGGAAATATTGCCATTTTAATGCATTTTGTTTTACTGCTTTTTAACTGCTGCTTGGTATTCTGTAGGACAGCTTTACCATAAGGTATTTAAGCATTCCTGCTTTGATGAATGCTTAAGTTATTTTCAGTTTTTTTTGTGTAAAACAAGCTGTAGGGAACATCCTTGAGTGGACCTTTTGGTGTACATGTATTTCTAAGATAAATACTAGAAACTGAATTGATGGTTGAAGAGTATACATTTTACATTTCTGTAGGAACTGGCAAATTCCTTCTGAAAAGATTTTGTAGTTTACATTTTCATCAATAGTATGAGAGACTCCCTTTTTTCAGATCCTTGGTAACATTGAATGTTATCAGTTGTTTTTATTTTTCCAATCTGATGGGTGAAAAATAGTATCTTGGTTTGTTTTAGTTTGCATCTTTTCCCTGATTACTATTGAGATTTCACATCTTTCCATATTTTTTCTGGCTATTTGTATAATCTCTGAATTGACTTTTCTCATCTTTTACCTATTGTTCTATTGAGTTATGTTTTAAAAATTCATTTGAAAGAGTCTTTTAAAATATTATGAAAACAAATCCTTTGTTAAATATGTTGCAGTTATTTCCTTCCTGTCTGTAACTTGTTTTATAATTTTGTTTAATGGTTTCTAAATAAAAATTTGGGGGGTAGGGAATCAGCGTAACTAGAACTTTGGAACTGGATCCCGCCCACTTTCATAGGGTGCGTGTTTTGTGTACACAGAAGAATGTGTCATAGTACATGTTTTGGGTTTATTGTGGTGCCAACTTGTAAGTTGCTTATTCTGTTGTTTTATTGTTACCTGAAATGTTCTTGGCATGTTGTCAGGGCCTGTATTCTGAATCACCGTATTTCACTGAAGCTGCATTGTCACCAGTTGTTAGATACATCATTTTTTTATTTACCTCTAAAAACCAAAAAAAAAAAAAAAAAAAAAAACAAGCTCCAAACCTGTTGCTGTCGAGTGGATTCCAACTCATACTGACCCTATAGGACAGAGTAGAACTGCCCCATAGGGTTTCCAAGGAGCAGCTGGTGGATTCGAAGTGCCGACCTTTTGGTTAGCAGCCGAGCTCTTAACCACTGCACCATCAGGGTTCCTCTTCTTTACTACATGTTCAAAATTATTTCTAGAATTACTATTGCAGAACGCAAACATTATCAGAAAAACCTTTGATGACTTCCAGTTGGCCAAAGAATATACTATGAATTTCTCATAGCTTGGCTGTTAGAGTACCTGACTAACATCGTGTTGTTTGGTGTTGTTGTTGTTAGGTGTCGCTGAGTCGGTTCTGACTCACAGTGACCCGGTGTAGAACAGAATGAAACACTGACCAGTCCTGCACCATCCCCACAGTTGTTCTTATGCTTGAGCCCATTGTTGTAGCCACTGTGTCAATCCATCTCTTTGAAGGTCTTCCTCTTTTTTGCTGACCCTCTACTTTACCAAGCATGTTGTCGTTCTCCAGGGACTGGTCCCTCCTGATAACATGTCCAAAGTACATGAGACAAAATCTTGCCATCCTTGGTTCTAAGGAGCATTCTGGCTGTACTTCTTCCAAGACAGATTTGTGTGTTCTTTTGGCAGTCCATGGTATATTCAGTATTCTTTGCCAGCACCATAATTCGAAGGCATCAGTTCTTCTTCGGTCTTCCTTATTCATAATCCAGCTTTCCCATGCATATGAGGCAATTGAAAATACATGGCTTGGGTCAGGTGCACCTTAGTCCTGAAGGTGACATCCTGCTTTTTAACACTTCAAGGAGATCTTTTGCAGCAGACTTACTAAATGCAATATGTTGTTTGATTTCTAACTCCAGGTCTTTGTATATTTTGTTATAATACTTTGTTTTCTGGAGCTGCCGTTTGAAATCTTCTGCTCAGCTCTTTTACTTCATCATTTCTTCCATTCGCTTTAGCTACTCTACATTCAAGAGCAAGTTTCAGAGTCTCTTCTGACATCTATTTTGGTCTTTTCTTTCTTTCCTGTCTTTTTTAATTACCTTTTGCTTTCTTCATGTATGATGTCCTTAATGTCATTCCACAACTCATCTGGTCTTTGGTCATTAGTGTTCAACTCCTCAAATCTGTTCTTGAGATGGTCTCTAAATCAGGTGAGATGTACACAAGGTCGTACTTTGCCTGTTGTGGACTTGCTCTAATTTTCTTCAGCTTCACATTGAACTTGGGTATGAGCAGTTAATGGTTTGTTCCACTGTCGGCTCTGGCCTTGTTTTGACTGATGATATTGATCTTCTCCATCATCTGTTGCAGATGTAGTTGATTTGATTCCTGTGTATTCCATCTCACGAGATCCGTGTGTATAGTCACCATTTATGTTGTTGAGAAAAGGTATTTGCAATGAAGAAGTCATTGAAATTGTGGAATTCTGTCATGTGATCTCCAACGTTTCTATCACCAAGGCCGTATTTTCCAACTACCAATCCTTTGTTTCCAACTTTTGCATTCCAGTCACCAATAATTATCAACGCATCTTGATCGCGTGTTTGATCAATTTCAGACTGCAGAAGTTGGTAAAAATCTTCAATTCCCTCATCTTTGGCCTTAGTGGTTGGTGTGTCATTTTGAATAATAGTCATATTAACTGGTCTTCCTTGTAGACATATGGATATTATCCTGTCACTGACAGCATCGTACTTCAGGGTAGATCTTGAAATGGTCTGACATCATACTACCTTATATTACCTGTGAGGGAGTATAACTGTGGATTCCCTGCTGCTCAGTCCTGATTCATTTGAGAGAAACAGTACTTATAAAAGATAAACTTGAGGCTCTGCGTTCTGTCTGTTCCTGAAGATCAACCTCTAGATAAATCAGAGCAACTGAATACACTTCTGTCTCCCACCCCCATCCCGAATTAATGCCATTCGCCTACTTTGAGAAATATACTGCTGTGTCTTCTGCATAGTCCCTGCTGTGGGGCTGCTCACCTTGCCTAAGTGAGCCATGCATGTTCGCACCTCTGTACTTTCACTCGCACTGTTTCTTCTGCGTGGAATTTCATTCACCTATTTCTCTGCTCATTGAAATCCTACTTACCCTTCAAGGCTTTTCTGAAATATTGCCTCCTCCATGAAGCCTTCCCTGATTCCTCACTCAGAATTGGTAATATCTTCCCGTATGCTACCACAGTGCTTTGTTTATACCTGGTACTGCACTTCACAAAATCTGTGTTACATGCTGTTTTCTATATGCATGTTTAATGTCTCTCTGTAGGTTGTGAACTACTTGGGAATAAAGTTTGTATTGTACTTATCTTCCCCAAAATTTCACATTAGACATTTAATAAACGTTGCACACACACATACATTGATACATTGCTGCCAACATGTGTAATACTTTCTCTCCAGGCATTTAAACAATTCGTGTAATGAGCATTATTGTCCTGAATGTCAGGTGTCTTGTTCACCACTCATTCTGTGTCTGGCTCTTAATAGATCTGAACAACGTGGCCACTACAGCTCGAGTCCTAGTCATTGGCGCTACTAACCGACCAGACTCGTTAGACCCTGCTTTGAGACGCGCAGGAAGGTTTGACCGAGAAATATGCCTGGGTATCCCAGATGAAGCATCCAGGGAAAGGTATATTCTTCTAGAATGAACTTTGTATGCCACTAAGTCACCTGAACTGAATGCCTTAAAAGTGAGGGATGATAAATACCTTGTAGCCTTTTTTTCCCCTCTCTCTCTGTTTTTTTTTGTACCAGGGAAATTTACTTGGAAAGGAAAAAACCTATATTAAATTAATGCTTAAGAAGGCGCTTACCAATACGCAGTCATTTCAGGGTTTTTTTCTGTAGTGATAATGGACTTACGTGTCCACGCTCATTTTTCTGGTCTTGCTAACAATGGCTTGCCTTTTTTGGTTGGCTGACCAGCTTAGGGACAGTGTTTCTTGAGCTGTGGAATAAGAGCAATGCTGACTGGTCCAAACGTAGGTTAAATCTGAGTACCGTACTTTAACCCATTGCAGTCATCTGCCTGAGGCCACAAGTCTCATGACAAATAATGCAATGGCAGCCCAAGAGTTGAAAGCTATCCTAGTTATTGGACTTGGATGATGACAGAGTAAAGAAACCACCAGTAGCTAGCTAACCAAAAGTATTTCAGGAGACTGTTCAGGTAGTGGAATAAAATTTAATGAAGAAATATTCAGAAATACCAAATTTATAATGGCTTTTGTATTAAGGACGTTAAAATTGGTGTACGTGAACACCGGCAGCTTTTAGGAAAAGCAGTACGCAGTGAAAGGACATACCGTGGGGACAGTGGACCAGGGAGGAGATGGCGAACAGGAGACTACATGAGTGTAGGAAGTGAAAGTGGGTAGGAGAAAGGGTCAGGAGGGAACATATACCATCCCTCCCTTCTTTCCATCACTTGATGTTGCTTTACCTTTTGATTAGTTGGCAATTTCTTGTTCACTTCTTGTATTCATAGTCATCTATATGTATGCTAATTGCATTCCCACATATGTAATCTTTAAATATAGGTACCCAGCCATCCGGGTTGCTTTACTGTCGTGCTTACTCCTGCAGTAAAATAATGTTATTTAGTATTTAAATTGTTTATATTTGTTCAGGAAACGTGATGAACATATAAAAAACAGGTGTTGCCATCGAGTCAATTCCGACTCATAGTGACCCTATAGGTCAGAGTAGAACAGCCCCACAGGGTTTCCAAGGAGTGGCTAGTGGATTCGAACTGCTGACCTTTTGGTTAGCAGCCAAGCTCTTAACCACTGTGATGAGCATACAGTATGTGTATATACCATTGTGGTAGGTAATATTAGGTATATAAAGAAATATCAGTCTCTGCTTTCAAGGTGCTTACAGTACAGTAAGAGAGAAATAAGGTCTGTACCCATTAAACATGAGATAACGTTTTTTATCAAGTGCAAACTAATGGTAGAGACATGATGGAGCCCATCATCTCTACCAGATAAAATCCTCTCTCCATCTACCCAGTTTCCATCAACAGCAATGGCTTAAGGGACTTTCATAAATGGTCATGATTTTTGTTCCTTGTATTTATCATTTTTTTCCTCCAAATTTTTATTTTGAACAATTACAAACCTAAAGAAAAGTTGAAAAAATAATACAGAAGTATCCATATTCCCTCTGGCCTAATTCACCACTTGTTAACATTTTGCCATGTTTACTTTCACTCACTCTGTAAAAACATACATGTATTATATAATCACTTGTGTGTGCTTATATTTTTTTTCAAACCATTTAAATGTTGAATACATGATACTTTAGCCCTGAGTACTTCTCCTGTATAACTGTCATACTCAAGAAATTTAGCACTCACACAGTAATATTGTCTTAATGTATAGTCCACGTAGAGTGCTCCTTAGAAGAAAGGATGGCAAGACTGCATCTCACATACTTTGGACATGTTGTCAGGAGGGATCAGTCCCTGGAGAATGACATTGTGCTTGGTAAAGTAGAGGGTCAGCAAAAAAGAGGAAAAACCTCAACGAGATAGACTGACACAGTGGCTGCAACTGTGTTCAATCGTAACAATTGTGAGGATGGCAGAGGACTTAGCATGTTTCGTTCTGTTGTTCATAGGGTCGCTATGAGTTGGAACCGACTCGACGGCACCTAACTGGCAACAATATATAGTCCATATTCTAATTTTCCCAATTGTCCTTTATGCTGTTTTATTTTTATTTTTTATGGCGGTTATTTATTTTTTTAGCTTTACCCAAGAGCCAGTCAAGGATCACAGCTACTGTTTAGTTGACATGTCCCTCTAATCTCCTTTAAACTGCGTCTTTGGGGGAGAGAGCACTCTCATGATGTTGACATTTTTGAGGTGTCCAGGTGTGGCTTTTTATAGAATGCCCCAAAATGTATCTGGTTGTTTCCTTATGATTAGATGTAAGTTAAACGTTTTGGGCAAGAATACCGCATAGATGGTGATGTGCCCTTCTGGGAGTATCGTTTCAAGAGGTTCATAGTTGTTGATTTGTATCGTTATAGGTGAGGTTAAATTTAACCACTTTGTTAAGAAATTCATCAGAGTTGTCTACTCTAAAGGTACTTTGTTCCCTTGTAATTAATAAATAACATACCTGGATATTTTTGGTATCTACAGTCACTTATGACTGCCTTTTATCAGTTTGTTTGAACCGTTTTTCGATTCAGAGACTTTCACGTTGGTGTTTTATGTAGGCTGGTATGGCCTAGCTAAGTGATGGATGGCTAGGGCAAGAGTTTCGTGTGAGACTAGAGAGGGGATTAAATTTTTATTATGTTTAAGGCTTCTTGGGGAGAACAGGATCAAAGTCTGCAAGAAGATAGCCCTTGAATATGATTATGCTTGAGAATTTTATTAAGAAGGAGTATTTCTGATTGAGTCTAACAAAAAGCAGAGTGCAGTTTTCTTATTTATATGCATTTGTCTAGCTCTGAGTACAGAAACAAAATAATTACATTATTGCATGCAGATGTTAAAGAGTTAATTCTAAGATGGAGAAATTATATAAATAGAATTAGTGTACATTGATACTTACTTTGTATCAGTGGTTCTTAGAGAAAGTCATTCATTAATTGAGGAAGTATTTATTTTAGCACTTGTATACCAAAGAGACCCAGCACTAGGCACCTCTGACACTCCTTTTAGTCATCAGAAACACAGTGAGTAGAAAAGGCAAAAGACAGGGCCTTAGGAGGGATATATCAGGCGAAGCTAACATGGTCTGGGGATTCTGACAGGCTTCTCTGAGGAAGCTGAGACTTGAAGAATGAAGAGCAGTTAACTAATCACTTGATGGAGAGAGTATTCTAGGAGGGCACAGCATGTAAAGGCCCTGAGATGACTGAGAATTCAGTGTCCAGAGAGAGAGAGAGTGTTGGGGAGGTAGGACGTAGAAGGACTAGGGAGGTGTACAGAAGCTAGTTCATGTACGACTTGATTGAGATTTCAGACTTGCTCCATATGCATAGTGGGAAGTAATGAAAAGTTTAAGCAGGACAGTGATGGAAATGGATTTTTGTTTTGAAAAGATCACTCTAGCTGCATTGTGAAGAATGAACTACAGGAGAGCAAGAATGGATTCTGGTATCCAGTGAGAAGGCTGTTGTGATATCCAGGGGAGAGATGATAGTGGGTAGGCTTAAGGAGGTGGGAACGGAGATAGATACAGCCGGAGTAATTTGGAGATATTTAGGAAGTAGAATTAATCAGTTATGTTGGTCAATAGGGTATATATGTAGGGGGTTGGAGACTGTGAGCAAGAGGGAAATATTCCCAAGTTTCTGACTTAAGCTTCTGTGTAGATGGTTTCCTACTGATGAGAAGGGAAATACTGGAGGAGAAGCAGGTTTTAGAAGGGGACTTGGAAATGGGTGGAAAAGATAAGATCAATTGAGTTAGAGATACTTGCAGAATGTCCAGGTAGAGACATCAGGTTGGCAGTTGGACAGATGAGTCTGGAGCTCTGAGGAGGTTAAAGATTTGGGAGTCATCAGTGTATTGATGGTAATTGAAGTTATGAAAGTAGATGAGATTATCCAGAGAGAGTGTGGAGTACAAACATCAGAGGGTCTGGACAGGCGTGAAGAGGAAAAGCTAACAGGCTAGGGATATAGAAAGAGTTGCCAACCAAGCTCTAGAAAAATCAAGACAGTGTTGTGAATTGGAGGCCAAGGAGAGTGAATGTTTCCAGAAGGAAGAATGAGAGGTCATGCAAATGAGAAGTCAAGCAAGGGAGGGTTGAAAATTGTTTCTGGAATTTTGCAACACAGAGGTCACTAGTGACCTTAACAAAAAACTATTTGGGTAGAATGATCCAGGTTAGAATTGTTGAGAAGTAAATGGGAAGTGAAGAAATGAGAGTAGCAGACTTCCACAGTTTGTTTAAGGGAAATTTGACTGTGAAGGAGAGGAAAGAAGGTGGTAGCTACATGAGGATGGGTGGTGGGGTGCCGGATTTTTTTAGGATAGGAGAAACTTGAGCGTGTGTACAAGTTGATGGGAAGGAGCCAGTGGGAGCAACAGGCTTATGGGAGAAACATAAGTTATTCAGAGCTTATGTATAGGTACCAGCCTTAGAATGAGGGCTTGTTGTTGTTAGGTGCTGTCAAGTCAGTTCCAAGTCATAGTGACCTCATGTGCAACAGAACGGAACATCGCCCAGTCCTGCACTATCCTCACAATCCTTGGCCATGTTTGAGCCCATTGTTGGCAGCCACTATGTCAATCCATCTCGTTAAGGGTCTTCCTCTTTTTTTCTGACTCTCTGATTTTTTCCCTGACTGATGCCTGACAGTCTAGGTTTAGGCAAGGAGAAAAAGCAGAGTTAGAATTTTAATAGATAAAAAAACAGTAGACCATGGACTGACTTTAAGCTGTAAAACTATGAATAGTTTGATGAGGAGGTGGTGAACTGAAGAACCTGTTGAAGTTCAAGAGCAGGCATGGAAGTACTGAGCATATAAACTAGAGAATAGGAGACTGTGGCAGAGTGAGATATGAGATAGTGATTTCAGAGGTGGAACAGTTGCTGGTGATAAGGCCCAGGGTGTGGCAATGAGAGTGGATGAAGAAAGGACGTGCATGAGAAAGGCCAGGGAGGGGTGGGGCGGGGTGGAGAGGCAGTGAAAGAAATTATCTGTGAATCTCCCAGCTCTCTCACATTGTGTCCTTGTGCCTTGTTGTAGGTATTTAAGATGTCCAAGCCTTTATTTATCTGTAGTACCAAAAAAAGAAACCACATGCCCTCAAGTCAGTTCTGACTCATAGCAACCCTGTAGGACAGAGTAGAACTACCTCATAAGGTTCCCAAGGAGGGGCTGGTGAATTCAAACTGCTGACCTTTTGGTGAGCAGCCGAACTCTCAACCAGTGTGCCACCAAGACCCCATCGCTAATACAGCAATGATAATAATACCTTACTTTATCTGTAAGATGGTGATAATGTCTACTCTTGGAGGCTTCTTGGACGGATCGAATTAGTGTACTCAGCACACCGTCTGGCATGTAGACGTGTTCAAACATCGTACCTGTTACTGATATTTTTCTGAACTTTAAAAGCATTTTATTTTGGAAAATTTTCAGTATACATAAAAGGAGAGAGACTAACATAATTGTTTTTGTGTCTCCTACTGCAGAATAAACCACCCCAAGATTTAGTGGCTGAAAGCAACAACAGTCATTTTATTGTCTCTCACAACTTCTGTGGGTCAGTAATTCAGAAAGGCCCCCCAGCTAGATGGGCTGTCTGTGGGGCCTTATGTGGTTGCAGGCAGATAGTGGCTGGAGCTAGAACTTTGGGAAGCTAAAGCAGCTGTGGGTGGCCATGAATGTCTGTCTGTCGTCTACCTACCTACCAGCTTACCATCAATCCACTCATCCATCCATCTATCCACCCATCCATCGTCTAATGTAACTCCTTCCCTGCCTCCCTTCCTCTCTGTCTCTATCTCTGTTCTTTTCATTCATGTCATCTCAGGGCCTCTCCATCTGGCACTCTGTATGGGTTACTTTGGGCTTCCTCATAGCTTGGCAGTCTTGGAATGTAGGACTTCTTACATGCCAGCTCAGGGCTCCCGCATGGAGATTCCAGCGAACCAGGCTGAAACTGCATTGCCTTTTCTGACCTAGCCAATGGAAAGAGTGTCAAGAATTTGTGGACATGCTTTAAAACTCCCACAGTGATGAACCAGTTGAAACTTAACACCCAGTTTCAACAATAAAAAACATATTGCCAATCTTATTTCATCTATCTCTTACTTTTTTTTCCTGGTGTATCTTAAAGCAAATCCTAGACATATTATTTCATATTTCATCTGTAAATACTTCAGTATCTCTAACAGATAAAAACTTTGTTTTAACATATACCCAATGCCATTATATACCTAACAATAATTTCTTAATATACCTAATATCCAATCCATATTCAGACTTCTTGATTTGTCTCAGATGTCATTTTATAGTTTTAATTTGCTCAAATCAGGATGCAGACAAGGTTCATACATTGCATTTGTTTAAAATGTTTCTTAAATTTCTTTTAATTTTTTTTTTCTTGGTTGTAGAAGAAGTGTTGTTTGTCATTTCCAACCGTTTATATTTTGCTGACTGCATCCTCATGATCTAGATTAACCTGTTCCTCTGTCCCCTGTATTTCCTGTAATTGGCAGTTAGTTCTAGAAGCCTGATCAAATTCCTGTTTCATTTGGAGGGAGAAGGGACAAGAATACCTAATAGATGAGTGTTGTGTATTTCCATCTGGAAACACATAATATCTGATTGTCTTTTCGTGATGTTATGAGCTATTGATAACTACTAGAGGTTGCTGAATAGCAGTATTCAATCTTTCTTTCTTCATTCGTTAGCCAGACTACTTTCACAAAGCAAAGCTTTACCTTTTCAACTATTTGGTTATTTTGCAAAGGCAGGATAAATACTTGATTCTTTCCCTTTATTTACTGGTGTTCAAAATAAAGAGGTGATCCTTCCTCCAAAGGTAATCTATAATTTTTTTGTATCAGTGTGTTTATTTAAAGGAGCCCTGGTGACGCAGTGGTAAAAGCACTCGTCTTCTAACTGAAGGGTTGGTGGTTCAAACCCACCAGCTGCTCTGTGGGAGAAAGATATGGCAGTCTGCTTCCATAAAGATTACAGCCTTGGAAACCCTGCAGGGCAGTTCTAATCAGGAGATTCCCTCCCCTAGTTCATTTTCATCAGAGAGCAAATTTCTGGTATCTTGTGGGTTGAGAGAGTGCAGAGCGTGTGAGGTCTTAATACTAATTGCACAGACTTTTAGGTAATTCCTATGTTTTCGGCTCTCTGCCTCGGCCCTGCCTTCTGTAGTCTAAGACTTTGGAGCCTCCACTTCCTGAGTTTTGGGAGTTCTACCAGGCAACTATGCTTGCTTCTGATTAGTGCACCTCTTTGCAAACACTTCATTTTGACTTTGTCCCCTCTGCTCTCCTTAGATTATAGTTCAAGATTTCAAATAATCAAATATCTGTGAGTCCATACTAATATAAGTAAATGATTGAATAAATAGACGAATGAGAATAGACAGATATCCTGTGTGGAAGAATTCCAAATAATTTATGTAGATATTCCACCCCTTAAGGTGATGGAGTATAACTGCACGCTATTTAAGTGTGGGCTGTACGTGGTGACTTCCTTCCAAAGAGTACAGTATGGAAAGGGGTTGGGGAAGGGAGTGTAACTTTATAGCAGAAAGTCTTTCAAACACAGTTTCAAGCCAGGTGATCAGGTTAATATCAACAATGATAAATCATGTTGATAGTATGTATCCTTGATATGATACGGTGAGAATGGTGCTTTACCTCTGTGGTTTTCTCCCCCGAGACACATTACCCCAGTCTAACCATGAAAAAAATATCAGAACAACCCCGGTGGAGGGACAGTCTACAAAATACCTAACCAGTAATCCTCAAAATTGTCAAGATTATCAGAAACAGAGAAAGTCTTAGAAACTGTCATAACCAGGAGGAATCTAAGGAGACATGACACTAAATGTAATGTGGTATGAATGGAATACTTGTTTTTACTATTATTAGGTTAGATATAGTGATTTTTTTTCTCTATTTCTTCTGCAGAATACTTCAGACCTTATGCAGGAAGCTAAAACTTCCTGAAGCTTTTCATTTTCATCACTTAGCACACCTCACACCAGGCTTTGTTGGTGCTGACCTGATGGCGCTCTGCCGAGAGGCAGCCATGTGTGCAGTCAACAGGGTCTTGATGAAGCTACAGGAGCAGCAGAAGAAAAGTCCTGAGATTGAAGGTTGGCCTGCTGCAGGATGCCAGGAAGAAAGGATAGGAACTGAGCATGTTTCCAAAACACAGGTGCATTCTATAAAGGTACCTTAGCTTGTCCTTGAAATGTTTTTAGTTTGCGTCATCTTACATTCAAGCGTCAATATAGTTGAGATGTATGATTTCCTGTTGTATTGGCATTTTATCTATATGCTAATTATCAGTTACATAATCTCAAAATTACAAGCTTTTTTTTCCCCTTTTTTTAGTTTATTCTGAACAAATTTATTTCATAATAATGATTATGAAACTTTAGAGTAGGACTTGGCAAACTATAGTGTACCGCCTGCTTTTTATAAGTTAAAGTTACATTGGAACGCAGCTGTGCTCAGTTGTTATATATTATCTATTTCTGCTTTTATGCTTCAACGGCAGAGTTGAGTCCTTGCAACAGAGACCATATGGCCGCAAAGCCTAAAATGTGTACTATCTTGCCCTTACAGACAAAGTTGGCCAACTCCTTTAGAGCGTTAGGCGTTTAATTGTGCTTTCTATTTTCTGACTAAATATTTCAGGTTTCCTAGCTTTTGGTTAAGTAGAACAATCTTAAATTTTTGGTTTTGTGAGTCATGAAAACTCAGTCTAACATTTGTGTAGCATTGTATAGTTTGCAGGTAGGACTTCTGTATATTATATAATTTGATACTTAATAACTTTGTGAAGTAAATATCGTTACATCATTTTGTAATTGAAGAAACTAAGAGATTTTGACTTGCCCAAGGCCACATACCTTCTAATTTCCATGGTAGAGACTTATATACAGGTCTTTTGTTTTCAAATTTGGTTCTCCCTTACTCATTTGGAACCACAGTGATTTCTGTTTAAAATAATAATAACAAACAAACTCATTCCTCCGATAGTATTACATACAAATTAGGATTTTATAAATTGAATTATTCAGTTGCTTATTTTTTACACCTATCCTTTCATACTCTTCACAAAGCAAGAAATCTGCCTTCAGTGAGTAATTGCCAGTTTATTTTAGAGGCTTCATTGAAGTTCAAGATTCAGTAGTACTAGGAACATTGCCCACTGTCTACTTATTGTTAAACTATCTAAGAACCATATTATGAAATTATACTATCACCAAAGTAACTTTAACTATCAAAATTCAGCTGCTGCTTGAATATTTATAAATGGAAAATATAGTTATTGAAATAAATATTTGTCAACTGCTTATATTTGCTATATCTATCCCTAGTATAGTACACAGAAACCGTTCTTATATATTTTGAGTGTAACGGGTGTACCTTTACTTGACCATATCAAATGATCCTTACAGAATAAAAAAATTTCTAAGTCTCTGTTGACGGAGAAAATCATTAAAATACGTGGAAGTTCACTGTAGCTTACAGAAAATGTGCAGTAATAATTTTAAAAAATATACAAAGTGACTTTTTCAACAAAGTTTGTGACGTTTAATTTTTTTCTCCTCACCATCTCCCTTTAAGGATGAATTGCAAAGATTGCTGGGGTTGCTGAGAGACCAAGAGCCCCTCTCGGAAGAACAGCTGCAAGGGCTGTGCATTGAATTGAATGATTTCATTGTTGCTCTAGCCTCAGTACAACCCTCTGCCAAAAGGGAAGGCTTTGTCACTGTCCCCAATGTCACATGGGCAGATATTGGTGCCCTGGAAGATATTAGAGAGGAGCTCACCATGGCAATATTGGTAGGTGTGTGTGCTACTAAACGTCATTGGCACATGTTGGCATATGTGATGGGCAGATAAGCAGAGATAAAGTTGCATGCCCATGTACGAGGTTGTACTAGTAAATGGGCTTGACTGTATGTTTTCTTTTGAGTGTTCTGTTGTATTATTACGCCTCCAACAATGATATTCTTTTAAGATCTGTTTTAGACTTAGTCTTTAGGTTGTGCTTGTTTTCTGTGACAGGTGAGTTTAAAAAAAAAAAAAAAGTTCAGGTTTCATCCAAGACCAAATACTCTGAGAACTGTTTTTGAACTAGATCACACTCTTACGGGACAAAGCAGTTTTAACACCCATGAAACTTTGAATTAATTGTTGTTTACTCTTATTTTTTCACTTTACTGATCATTCCATGGTTCAGTAATTGACATGTTATGCATTTAGAGGTGTGTACCTACTAAAAGAGAAAATGCAGTGGGATTACAGTGAACAGGAATCTCTGACCTTTGACTATGTGAAGGGTACTGCTACTCATGATTTCTTTTTTTTTTCTTTTAATTTTATTGTGCTTTAGGTGAAAGTTCACACAGCAAATTAATTTCCCATTCAACAGTTCATATACAGATTGTTCCATCACATTGCTTGCTGTCCCTGCAGTGTGTCAGCACTCTCCCCATTTCCATTCTGGCTGCCCCCTTTCCATCCCTTCAGTTTTCCTGCCCCTCCTTGCCTTCTCATCTTTGCCTTTGGGCAAATGTTGCCCATTTGGTCTCATATAGTTGATTATTCTAAGGAGGACAGGTGTTATTGTTTATTTTATAGATCAGTCTGTTATTTGGCTGAAAGGTGACCTCTGGGAGTGACTTCAGTTCCAGGTTAAAAGGATCTTAGGGCAATACTCTCAGGGGTTCCTCTAGTCTCTGTCATTCCAGTAAGTCTGATCTTTTTTATGAATTTGAGTTTGTTCTACGTTTTTTTCTCATTCTAACCAGGACCTTCTGTTGTGTCCCTGGTCAGAGCATTTGGTATTGGTAGCCGAGCATCTAGTTCTTCTGGTTTCAGGCTAGAGGAGGCTGTAATTTGTGTGGGCCGTTAGTCTTTTGGTTGCTCCCTTAAGTCTTTGGTTTCCTTCACTCGCCTTTGCTTCTGGTGGAAATAGACCAATAGTCATGTCTTAGATGGCCACTTGCAAGCTTTTAAGACCCCAGATGCTACTCGCCACACTAGGATATAGGACATGATGAATTATGTTATGCCAGTTGACCCACATGTCTCCTGAGACTATGGTCCTTAGCTTTCAAGCCCAGTAACTCAGTCCCATGAGGTATTTGGATATGTTTAAGAAGTTTCCATAACTGTGCCCCCCATGTGCTCTATTATATGTATGAATATACATGCAGCATATACAAATATGTATATACAAATACAGCTATATGCACTAGCATGCCCTCCCATATGCCCTCTCCCGTCTATATAGCATACATATCTATCTGTGTAACCACTCACAAATTTTGGTTGTTATTACTGTTGTTGCAGCATTGTATATGGTGTAATAGTTACTTTTGTTGTTTATTCTTGCGTACCTCTTATTTGCTTTGATCACGTTGTGTTGACTTTCTCCATATTGTGTATTGCCTTTCCCTTCACCAGAATTAACACGTGACTACTCTCTAGTAAGTGATTCTCCCTTCCTTTCCCTCCTATCCCAGGTAACCATCAAAGAATGTTGCTTTCTGTGTGTAAACCTATTCTTAACTTTTTATAAAAGTGGTATGTAGTATTTGGACTTATGTGATTGACTTGTTTCACTTAATATAATGTCTTCAAGCTCCATCCATATTTTAGCAAGTATCAAGACTTCATTTCTCTTACTGGCTCAGTAGTATTCCATTGTATGTATGTACCACAATTTGTTTATCCATTCATCCATTGATGGACACTTAGGTTGTTTCCATCTTTTTGCTGTTGTGAATAATGCTGCAGTGAACGTGGGTGTGCATATGTCAGTTTGTGTCACTGTTTGTATTTCTCTAGATCATATACCTAATAGTAGAACTGATGTATTTCGTTTCTAGCTTTTTGAGGAAGCACATACCATTTTCCATAGTGGTTATACCATTTTACAACCCCACTAGCAGTGTATAAGAGTTCCAGTCTCCCCACAACCTTGCCAGCATTTGTTATTTTCTGTTTTTTTCATCAGTGCCATTTTTACAAGAGTGAGATGATATCTCATTGTAGTTCTGGTTTGCATCTCTCTAATGGCTAATGATCTTGAACATCTCTTCATGTGTTTATTAGCTGCCTGAATGTCCTCTTTGGTAAAGTGTCTGTTCATGTCCTTTGCCCATTTTTTTATTGGATTGTTTGTGTTTTTGTTGATGAGGTGTTGACGTTTTCTATATATTTTAGAGATTAGACCATTGTCAGATGTGTCATTGCCAAAATTTTTTTCCCAGTCTGTAGGTTTTCTTTTTACTCTTTTGATGAAGTTGCTTGATGAGCATACATACTTAATTTTTAGGAGGTCCCAGTTACCTAGTTTATCTTCTGTTGTTTGTATATTTTCAGTTATGTTTGATAGTCTGTTTTGCCATAAATTAGGACCCCTAGCTTTGTCCCTATGTTATCTTCCAGGAACTTTATGGTTTTAGCTTTAACATTTAAGTCTTTCATCCATTTTGAGTTAGTTTTTGTGTATGGTGTGAGGTGTGGATCCTGTTCCATTTTTCTGCAAATGAATATCCAGTTTTGCCAGTACCGTTTGTTAAAGAGACTATTTTTTTCCCATTGAATGGACTTCTACCCTTTGTCAAAGATCAGCTGTCCATAGCTGGATGTATTTACTTCCGGAATCTCAATTTTGTTCCGTTGGTCTATGTGTCTGTCTTTGTAGCAGTACCGGGCTGTTCCGATATTGGGAAGTGTGAGGCCTCCTACTTTTTATTTGATAGTGCTTTGGCTATTTGGGACCTCGTTCCTTTCCCTATAAAGTTGGAGAGGAGTTTTTCCATTTCATTAAAGAATGTTGTTGGGATTTGGATTGGAATTGCACTATATCTGTAGATCACTTTGGGTAGTATTGACATTTTCACAGTATTAAGTCTTCCAATCCATGAGCATGGTATATTTTTCCATTTATGTAGGTCTCTTTTGGTTTCTTGCAGTAGTGTTTTGTAGTTTTCTTTATATAAGTCTTTTACATTCATGGTTAGAAATATTCCTAGGTATTTTATCCTTTTGGAGGCTATTGTAAATGGTATTGTTTTCTTGATTTCCTTTTTGGAGTTCTCCTTGTTAGTATAGAGGAATCCCACTGAGTTTTGTATGTTGATCTTGTACCCTGCCACTTTGCTGAACCGTTTTATTCGTTCCAGTAACTTCCTTGTGGAGGCGCTGGGATTTTCTGTATATAGGATCATGTCATGTGCGAATAGGGATAATTTTACTTCTTCCTTATCAGTTTGGATGCCCTTTATTTCCCTTTCTTGCCTTATTGCTCTGGCTAGGACTTCCAGTACAATACTGAATAGGAGTGGTGATAATGGGCATCCTTGTCTAGTTTCCATTCTCAAGGTGAATACTTTCAATCTCTCTCCATTGAGAATAATGTTGGCTGTTGGTTTTGTATATGTGCCGTTAATTATGTTGAGGAATTTCCCTCCTATTCCTGTCTTTCTGAGAGTTTTTATCCAGAAAGGGCATTGGATTTTATCAGATGCCTTTTCTGCATCAATTGAGATGATCATTGCTGCTTTTGAACCAACTCTCCCTCCCCCTGCCACTCAGTCTAATTCTTCAACTTTGCCTCTGATGTTTAGGGCTCCTAGATTGTCGTAGAATCGATTCACTTGTTTTTTCGGGTCTTTGTTGTAAGAGGGACCACCGGAAGCATCTGACTAGTCTGCCATCTTGGCCCCACCTCCTCTTTCTTCTTTTTTAATGTATGCATTTTTTGCTATAAATTATCCTCAAATTTCATTTGATTCTGTGAATTTTTTAATTTTGTTTTTAATTTCTTTCATGACCTAGTAGTTTTCAAGTAAAGTATTATTCAGTTTCCACATATTTAATTTTTTTCTTGCTCTTTCTCTTATTGATTTCTAGTTTTGTAGTGTCATGGTCAGAGAAGATGCTTTGTATTATGTTGATGTTTTTGTTTATTGAGACTTGCTTTGTGGCCTAAAATGTGGTCTGTTTTAGAGAATGATCCATGTGCATTGGAGAAGAATGTGTATTTTTCTTCTTTTGAGTGGTGTGTTCTGTATATGTCTGTGACATCATATTGGTTGATTGTTTAGATATTCTGTCTTTATTGAGTCGCTAGTTGTTCTGTCCATCGTCAAAAGTGATGTGTTAAGCTCTCCTACTAGTATCGTACAACTGTCTATTTCTCTTTTCAGTCTGTTTGAGTTTTATGTATTTTGGAGCTCTGTTATTGGGTGCATAGATATTTATTATTGTTATGTCTTCTTGGTGGATCAACCCTTTAATCATTATATAATGCCCTTCTTTGTCTCTTATAATGGATTTTGACTTAAAGTCTATTTTGTCCAAAATTAATTTTGCTACCCTTGCTCTCTTTTGGATACTATTTTCTTCATATGTTTTTTTCCATCGTTTGATTTTTAACTTGTTCATGTCTTTGTGTCTAAAGTGAATCTCTTGTAGGCAACATATTGATGAGTTGTGTTTTTTTATCCATTCTGCCACTCTCTGTCCCTTGACTGGTGTATTTAATCCATTTACATTTAGTGTCATTATTGATAGGTATGGATTCACTGCTGTCATTTTGTTGTACTTTTTGTTGTGGTGTTAACAGTTTCTTTGTTCCTCTTAATTTTATGTGCTGAGTTCTTTTTGTATATGAATTTTCTTTTCCTATCAATCGTTGTTGTTTTTGTGCTTCTGAGTGTTTTTGGTTTTCTTCTTTATTTTGGTGCGTAGATTTATTACTTTTCTTTGTGGTTACCCTGAAGTTTACATTCATCATCTTGAAATTTAAACAACCTGTTATGTCTTGAAATCACCTTGACTTCCTCCCCACATGGAAGTTCTACAACTACATCTTTTATTTCCCCTTTCTCTTGAAGTTGTCATTGTTTACAGCTTAATTCCTCTGGTTCCCTGTAGTCAGTTTTTTAGCTTTATTTTGCTTTTGTGAAGTCTTTATCTGTGTTGGTATCTGGGTGATGTCATGTGTCTTTATCTCAGGTTGTTGTCTGATGTCATGGGTTCTCTCTCCGAAAAATTCCCTTTAATAGTTCTTGTAAGGCTGGTCTAGTTTTTATAAATTCCCTTAGTTTCTGCTTATCTGGGAATGTCTTAATTTCACCATCATTTTTGGAAGACAGTTTTGCTGGGTATATGATTCTTGGTTGACAATTCTTTTCTTTCCTTCTTTTCCTTATATGTGTCATCCTGTTGCCTTCTTGCCTGCATGTTTTCTGACGAGAAATCAGCACTTTGTCTTATTGGTGCCCCTTTGTAAGTGATAATTCATTTTCCACAAGCTGCCTTTAGAAATAATTTTTTCTATGTCTTTTTTTAGAAAGTTTGATTATAATATATGTCTTGGTGATTTTTGCAGGAGGTCTGTCATGTATGGGGTTCTTTGAGCTTGGATGGTAACTTCTCGTCTTTCATGATATTTGGGAAATTTTCAGCCAGTATATCTTCAGAAATTCTGTACTTTTTTTTTTTCTCCTCATCTGGAATTTTTATTATGTGTAAATTATTCCTCTTGATGGTGTCCCACATAACCCTTAGGCTTTCTTCAATTTTCTTCATTCTTTTTTCTGATTGTTCCTCAAACAAGTTTATATCAAGAGATTTGTCCTTTATTTTGCTAATTTTTTCTTCCATTGATTCAGTTATACTTTTGTGTCCTTCCATTGAGTTATCTATTTCTGATATTTTATTGTTAATCTTTTGGATTTCTGGTTGTTGTTTTTTATGGTTTCTAATGATTTATTTTGTTATTTTGTTCTTACGTTTTCTTGAATTCTCTAGGATTTTATCTGTGTTATCCTTGATCCCTTTGAAGATCTGCATATAAGTCTATTGACTTCTTTGTCAGGTAGTTCTATTACTATTTCTTTCTCAGGAAGGTTTTCTGCTTTGAGCCAACTTATCCCCTTTCTTCATAAGATTTGTTATCGTTTGTTGTCTTTGAGGCATTAAGGTATTATTTATTGATTAATTTATTGATTAATTATATGTTTCTTTGTTTCATCCTGATTTTTTGTTTTGTTTCAATGTATCAAGACAGGCGGGTAGTGTGTGCTTTGCTGATCATTCATCTGACAGCATGGGAGCGCTCACCACCTTTCTCTGAGTAGGCTGGGAAGTGGCAGGTAGGTCGCTGTTCACTGGGTGTGCGAGACAGCTAAGCGAGGGCTGTGCAGGCACTGGCCATCTCGTGTCCTTGGTCCAGTAGCATGGGAGCGCTCATAGCCATTCAGTGGGTAGGCAGGGTGGGATCTCAAGGGTGTGGTGGGCGGCCAGGTGTGTGGGAGCACTGTGCCATTTGTCTGGTGGATAGGGTGGTGGGCGAGCGGTGTGGCAGGCAGCGGGGAGTGTGACAGTGGCTTGTGCCATTTGGCGGGGGTGGGGTGGGTAGCCAGGAGCACGAGCGTACGCTTCTGCTGCTCAGTAGGTTGGTAGTGGGGGGGTGGTGGATGGGGCTTGGTTGGGAGTAAAGTAGGAGGGCTCATATTGTGGTCTCCGGCAGTTAAGGCTGCAGGGATGGTAGGATTATACCAGTGATCACCAGGAGGGTGGGAAAGGGGGGAGCATGCTCCTCTGGCCATCAGGTGAGGGTGCCTGGGCACTTCCCATTGGTTGCAGCCAGCATTTAGGACCTGGCTCTTACCAACTGCAAGGAGGGGGTTGCTGCCTGTAGATTTGTCGGGTAGGGCATCTCCTTCAGACAGTCTGCACATCTATTACTCTGTGCGCCAACCACTCCGATGGTCAGCACCCAGCACTGGTGAGTCACCCTGTGTCTGGGTCCTGGCTCTCTCCCTCCTCTGTGAACAACAGGATCCCTGGAGTTCTCGCCTTCCTTCCTGTACTTTCCATCCTGAAATCCGGTTCATGTCCTGCTCACCTTGTTTCACTCTGGGTATGTTTAGAAAGTTTCTCTGTCTCCTGTTAGGAATTTCGTGAAGTTGCCTTTCTGTGTTCCTCACCCGGAATCGTTGCTGACTTTATGTCAAGACGGCCATGCTTTGCTGGGCCGGCTGACAGGGCACCTCTGCTCCGTATCTCTCCTTATTCACTGTTTTCGAGCAGCTGCTTCTTCTAATCGGTGTTCAGTCTAATTCTTTATCCTTTCCTTTGATGTTCAGGGTTTCCGGATTGTTAACTGTGTCTGTTTCACTTGGTTTCTCGGGTCTTTGCTGTAGAGGAACGGCATGATGTATCTCACTAAGCCTCCATCTTGGTCCACTCTTTACTTCTGATTTCTTAAAGTAGGGCATTGCCTAAAATTTTTATAACCTAGAGGTTTGATGGTTTTCCAGAAAATCTTGACTTTTAAGATGTTGAAATACTGTACTTTTATCTGTCTAAAATATTTTCAGTACTTACTTTTAAGTACAAATTCTTGGAGAATAAGGATTTTTTTATTTATCACCATATATCTCATGTAGAAAAGAAGTAAGCATTCTGTGCCAGGCACCTTTCATATCTTCTGGCCTCATGACCAGTGTTAAAAGTATGCATGTGGAGCTGCATATGAGTATGCAGGATGAAATGGACACCTGTGATGGGTTCTTGTTGGGCTTGTTCTTTTTAGGCACCAGTACGTAACCCAGATCAGTTCAAAGCTCTCGGATTAGTGACTCCAGCTGGTGTCCTTCTTGCTGGTCCTCCTGGCTGTGGTAAAACTCTCCTGGCAAAGGTATGGTGTAAGTTTAACTGCATGTATTTCTTTCTTACTATTAGATTGAATAATATGAATTTAATTTTAAATGTTACAGTGAGATAAATCTTTTGCATAATTTTAACTAGAAGTTCATTTTAGCAAAACTGACAACTTTCTTTTAAATTACAAAAGGTACATCATTGAAAATTTGGAAGAGGAAAAAAAAAATCAGCCATAAACCCCTCAATCTTACCACAACAATTATGATACTTTCTAGTTTTATAATATTAAAAAATGTGTTATATTCTTTTTTTAATGAGTGTTATTACATAGTTGTAGTTTATAATTGTACTTGTTTCTTGCTTTGTTGTAGTTATTATTTATAATTAAGTGTTTTCCTCTGTATCCCTTACAATTGTTATTTTTTAGAAAAATGTTTTTTCACAATAGAAAATATAGATAAGCAAAGGGGAAAAACATTATTTGTAATCCATCCACTACTGTTTACTTATTATTAACCGATGTTTCACTTGGTTGTCAATCTTTCCAGATGTTTTTCTATACACACATATCAAGATAAACATGTATAACTTTTACACACATTTTCACAAGTATCAGATTTTGAACCATATGTTTCTCACTTGGAAATGTTTTCTGAACATCTTGCATTGTCAGTATAGATCCACATCAACTTTTTTAATACCTGCATAATATTCTACCATAAAGATGTTGTATAATTTATAGAACTTACTCTCTTTTAAAACAATGCCACATTAAACATTCCTGTACATATATTTTTGTACCTTAATTGATAATTAGAATGCATTCCTAAGTAATTCTCCATAAGAGGAATGCATGTTTTTGAATCGTTTGATCCATATTACCAAACTGCCTTCCAAAGACTTTGAATCAGTTTTCACCCCATCAGTGGGTAGGAGTATCCATTTCCCTACATCCTAAATCAATAGTGGGCATTAACATTGCTTTGACTATTTGACAATCTGATAGGTAAAAATACTGTATCTCAATTTTTAAGTTGCATTATTGGCATGTAAGTAGTTTTCTTTATTATTTATAACCACTCTTGATATAATTAAAGTCTGTTATATTTGTAAATGTTTACTTACTAGTTTTTTTTGCTTTTTTTTTTGTTATTTTTTCATTTTCACGTGGTCACATTTCTGTTTTTTAATGATTTTTTTCTTTGGAGTCATGCTTATTATAACCATCTTCCCTATCTATGAGTTACATTAGCTTATCATTTTGTGATACTTTATCTGTAATTTACTTAACTCTTATCAATTCTTTTAAAATATTTTAATTACTTTTAAGAAATTAATAGAATTTTTAATAAGTATCATAGCATCCAGCTAATTTGTGACTCCTTAGTAAATATCAAACATCCATAGTGCCTTGTGTGTGTGTGTGTGTGTGTGTTTTTAACTTATTTGATTTGTATTATTAAATTTCCCTGCTTAATGCTTGCAGTGCTCTTAAGAGGCATTGCTTTTAAAGGTTAGTTTGTAGCATAGCTAAAAGACTATTTGTTAGACTGCATAGATTTTTAACAATATTTAACAAGATGAACTTCCGTGTCATGTGTAAGAGAATTCTTTATGTTTTCATAAAGCAAACTTACAATTTTTTAACAAAAGTCATGAAATGGACAGTAGGAAAGAGACAGATTAAGAGCCATGGATAATCCACATATTGAGCAGTTTGTGCATGGCAAGGCGTGAGTGCATTCCTTTGCTCAGCAAGCATTTGGTAGGCTACCTAGTCTTTACCAGAATTGTTTGAGGTGCTGAGGATACACTAGTGAACAGGGTACCTTCGCTAATGAAATTTACTGTCTGTTTGGGAGAGACAGGCAGTAAACAAGTAAAACAATAAAATTCCAGATTCAGCTAAGCTATCATGGAAATAACTAGATTGTTATGACAGAGTGATTTGGGGGAGGGGGAGGCTCCTTTATATATGGTGCTCAGGGAATGGTGATATTTGAACAGAGTACTGGAGGAGAAGCTAGCCCTATGAAGAGGAAGGGGAAGAATTTTCCAAACTGAGGGAACAGCAAAAGTCACTAAAGTGGGAAAGGGCTTGGTGAGTTTGAGACCCAGAGAAGGAGCCAGTGGCTGAACCAAAGAAGTTATCAGGAATATAGGCTTTGTGAGCAATGTAAAGATTTCAGATTGTACTTGAAGATAAATAGGAAACTTTGTCAATGGGTATAATCTGATTTATATTTTTAAAAGAATGTTCTGACTGCTGTGTGGAGAATGGATTGAAGGAAAGCAAGAGTAAAGAGAGGAATACAGGCGATTTTGCCTGTGTGCAGACAGGGGATGATGGTGGTCTGCATGAGGGTGGTGGTGTAGTGGAGAAGTAGAAGAGGGTCAGATGCACATGGTCTTAGCATTAGCACTTATAGGACTTGCAGATGGATTGGTTGGGAGGACAAGACAAGAGATCAAGGGAAACACTGAGGTTTAGGCCAAGAAACAGGGTATTTACTGAGATGGGGAGAAAAAGAGTTTGGGGAGCTGGGTTTGGAGGGAGTTGGGAGAGAGAATTAGGAGTCCTGTTTTGGATGTGATAGATTTGAGTTACCAATGAGATCCAAGTGGCAATGTAGAGTACTGTATTTTTTGGCAAATAACGTGCACCTTTTGGGTTCGTTTGCTGGCTACCCCCCACCCCTCCCCACAAGGTATTTTTGTAAGCACGCTATGCTAATTTTTTTTCAGCAACATGTGGAAGAGGATTCCCTTGGTGGCACTTGTGAGGGTGTCTCACAGGGGTAAGGTGGGGGAGCGGCCAGCAATACACGCAGAAGGTGCATGTTATTTGCATAAAAATACAGTATGGTGAATGTGTAGATCTGGAGCCCAGATATCAGGTAATAAAAACAGGAAGAATTGTCCACCTATTCCTCACTTATTGACTGTCTCGTTATCCGACATTTCGCATTTACTACAATAGTAAAAAATTACTATCCAACTATTTTGTGAATTAATGACGTGCGTCCAGCAGTAATGAACGCTGAGGTGCGAGGTGAGAGTAATGCTGGCTGTGATGATTAAGGTTATGTGTCATGTTAGCTGGGTCATGATGCTCAGTGGCTTAGCAGTTATGTAATGATGTAGTCATCCTCCATTTTGTGATCTGATGTGGTCACCCTCCATTTGTGCATAACAACCTGGTCTGTGGAATCTAACCATGTTGATAAGTGAGGGAAAAAAAACCAAACCCATTGCTCTCATAGCGACTCATAGCGACTCTATAGGACAGAGTAGAACTGCCCCATAGAGTTTCCAAGGAGCACCGGTGGACTCAAACTGCTGACCTTTTGGTTAGCAGCCAAACTCTTAACCACAGTGCCACCAGGGTTTCCAATAATGAGGAGTGAGCATATTTTTTTTAATTTTTTTTATTGCACTTTAGGTGAAGGTTTACAGAACAAATGGTCTGTCATTAAACAGTCAGTACACATATTGTTTTATGACATTGGTTAACAACCCCACAACATGTCAACCCTCTCCCTTCTCAACCTTGGAGGACCTTTTTTTTTTTTGGTGAAAATATACATAGCCAAAGATACACCATTTCAGAAATTTCTACATGTACAATTCACTGACATCGATTACATTCTTCCAGTTGCGCTGCTAGTCTCACTATCCTTTTCCAGATTATTCCATCACCATTATCTTCAGCTCACTGCCCCTCAGGCTTCCCATCAAACCTTTTGAGTTGCTGATGTCAGTTAGATAATTCTTTTTTTTTTTTGGTACCTTAGATGAAGGTTTACAGAACAAATAATTTCTCATTAAACAGTTAGTACACATATTGCCTTATGACAATGGTTAACAACCCCACCACATGTCAGCACTGTCCCTTCTGAACCTTGGATTCCCTATCACCAGCTTTCTTTTCCCCTCCTGCCATCTAGTCCTTGTCCCTGGACTGCTGTGCCTCATTAGTCCAGAGTGTATTTCTTGATCATTTTGAGTTTCTGATTGATACAATTCAGAAAGTTCCATCTCTGCATTCAGATTATAATTCGTAAACTCTTCTACATATGTAACCATGTTTTTCTCCTTTTGTTAGTCCCTTTTCCTTTGAACCATGCGGTTTAATCTCTTATTATTAGAGATAATCTGTAAATATTGACCCTTATTAAATACTAATACTAATGAGGTTTTTCAATTCTGGTTTATGAATAAATGAATGATTGCTTTCATCATTCAAAGCATTTCTTGAGTACAGACATTAGGATTTCACAAGAAATCCAAACTAAGACTGTAAATGTGTTTACATAAACATGTTTATTGTAAACAACACATTCGGTAAATATTCCATGTCACCTCTGTCTGACTCACAGCCTGTATTAGTTCTTAGGAAGTTCTAAGTTAACATTTACTTCCCATGATTTTTCCTTCATCCATTTCTTCTTTTCCCGTTTGTCTCCTTTCCTTCTAATAAGAAAGAGGCAAGTATAAAAGGGGAGGATAACAGAGTAAAAATCGCAAAAAGTTCTTGCATTGTCACAAATTGTTATTTTATTCTATGTTTGTCTTATTTGTGCTTTTTTGTTTCTTTTTGCCAGGCCGTGGCAAATGAGTCTGGACTAAACTTCATATCTGTAAAGGGTCCTGAATTACTAAACATGGTAAGCTGTTGTATATAATTTATTATTTTAGATTAGGAAAAGTAATGGCCATTCAAATTACAGCGTAAAACAGCCTCAGATCTTTGAAACAGTGTGCCTTGAGATGTGGTGTTTTGGTAAAATCATTGCTGTAAATGGAGACTGAGCTTTGCTCTACTTTGTTGCCTAGGGTTTGTAAATGCTTTCTTAATTAAGTCTTTTAACTTCCAAGCTTCAGTTATCTTACCTGAAAATGGGAATAGTTCTAGTAGTTAACATTTTAAAGTGTTTTCTGTGTGCTGTGTACCTGTGATACACTTTACATATATTATTCTTATAACAACCCTGTGAGGTTTGAGCTGCTATTTTCTTTAATTCACAGACTAGGAAGCTTAAGTTTGGAGAGGTTAACTTGTCCAAAGTCTGCAGCTAGGGAATTAAATAGTCTAAATTTGAACCTGGGTTGTCTGACTCCTGCCATGCTTATCTTGTCCTGGTGTTGTATGACACAAATGAGTTAATTGTTAATGGATAAGAATACTTTGGGGTAAAGAAATCAGTAGCATACTATAATATCTTCTTTCTGCATTTAGACAGTTGCATCTCAAATTTAAAAGACTTTGAATTTCTTATTTTCTGTCCATCCCCATAAAAAGTAAAATACCATTCTGTAATATATCCAAACAAAGAAATGAGAGTGGTAACATTTGTTTTAAGTTTTTAAAAATTATTTTAATTTTGGTAAAAATATACACAGCTGAACATACGCCCATTCAACAATTCCTGCGTGTACAATTCAGTAACATCAGTTACCTTCTTCCCACTGTGTCCCCATTCTGTGCCTGCCCGTATTGTTTCACCACCATTGACTCAGACTCACTACGCCCTACACTTCTATGCTTTAAGTTACTCTTGTCAATTTGATCCCATATAGATACTTCTTTAAAAGAGCACAATGCCCATAGCTAACATTCTTTACTAATTTAGCTCAACTGTTGTTTGATTTAAAGATGACTTCAGGGAATAATCCTGGTTCCTGGTTTGAAGATTTCCTCAGAGCGATAGGTTTGGGGGTTCCTCCAGTCTCAGTAGGTCCCATGAGTTTGGTTTCTGGAAGAGTTTGAAATTCTGTTCTACATTTTTCCTTTTTGATCAGGATCCATCTATTGAGTCCTTGATCAGAATATTCAGTAATGGTAGCCAAGCACCATCCAGTTCTTCTGGTCTCATGGCAAAGGAGGCAGTTGTTCATGGAAGCAGTTAGACCTGCAGTCCAGTCCTTCTGTCATTCACTAGCCTCCTCCTTCCTCTGCAGCTCCAGGCAAGTAGAGACTAGTTATTGTATCTTGGATGGCTGCTCACAAGCTTTTAAGACCCCAGGCATTTACTCACCAAACTAGGGAGTGGAATGGTAGCTCTAAAAATAGTATTAGGCTAGTTGACTGGACAGTCCCAGGAAGCCATGACCCTCTACCTTTGAACCAATAGAACTAATTCCATGAGGTGTTTGGATATACTTAAGTAGTATCAGCAGCTTAATTGCGGCTACTGCTGCTTTTTTTCTCCTCTTTGGTCTCTGCTATTGTTGTAAAATTACATATAACACAGTATTTGCCATTTCGTCCCTTTTCTGGTGTACAACTTAGTGAAATCAGTTACACCTATCAAGTTGTGCAACCATTACCCTTAACTGATGCCAATTTTCCCATCACCATAAACATAAACCCACTACTTCCCAGAGAATAATTGTCTGTCTTCCTTCACGCTTCTACCCTGGGTAATCACTAATAGTCATTGGTGTCTATATATTATAAGTGAGGTCATACAGTATTTGTCCTTTTGTGATTGATTCAGTCAGCAAAACGTCTTCAGGGTTCATCCACGTTGTGGCATGTATCAAAACTTCATTTCTCTTTACGGCTGAGTAGTAGTCCATTGTATATATGTACCACATTTTGTTTATCCATCATCTGGTGATGGGCATTTAGGTCTCCACCTTTTTGCTGTTGTGAACAGTGGAGTAGTGTTGCAGTGAACACTAGGTGTGCATATGTCTGTTCATGTCACTACTTTTAGAACCCTAGGTTATATACCTGTGAGTACAATATTTAAAATTTAAAAAAAATTTATTCTGTCTCTCCCATTTTTATATCTTTCCTACTGTATATTACTTTCCCCCTAAAATAAGAGATTTCTACTTAAGCATTTCTTATAGGCTTTATAAACACCTCTTTATTTTTCTTGCACTTCATTTTGGCTTTCTAGTGGAGGATGTATTAGAAATGGGCCTTGGAAAAGGTGATTAGTTGGGGGGTGCACCTGGAAAAGAAGGTGAAGGGTCTTTATTCCAAGCTAGATTTTGGGTGTTATCTACAGAGTATTAGAGCGCTAACAGCAGCTTTAAAGAAAGGGTGTAACATTTCTAAAAAATTTATTATAAAATATTTCAGGCATACAAAAAGTTTTAAAGAGTAGTATAATGAACCCCCGTCTACCTATCACTCAGCTTTAAAAAAAAGACAACATAGTTGAAGCCCCCTGCAGACCCTCCCTAATCGTATCCTTCATTCTCTCCTCCATAGATCTTACCACAATCCTGAATTCTGTGCACTTCTTTCTAAATATATGATGTTTATGAGGCAATTGGAAATTTGAATGCCTACCGAATATTTAATATTAAGAAACTATTAAATATTAAGTGTGATGATGTAGTTATGTTAAAATCCTTACCATTTAGAGATACTGAAATATTTACAAATAAAATGAGATGATATCAGGGATTGCCTTCAAAATAACAAGGAAAGAAAAGTGGACGGGGGTGTAGATGAAGCAAGGTTGGCCATGAGGTGAATTGACAATTATTGAAGTTGGGTGATGGATACATATGGGGTTCATTGTACTGTTAAATGTCTACTTTTGTTGTATGTTTAGAACTCTTACAAAAATTAAAGCAAAGGCCACTTTATATAAATGGTATGTGTTCTTCTGCAACTTGGTTTTGTTGTTATTGTTCAACATTATAAGATTTCTCTTTGTTGATATGTTTACCTCCAGTTCGTTAATTTTGTTTGGTATTCCATTGAATGACTGTAACCACACTTTGTTTAAAATATCAGTTATTTTCTTGATAGATACTTAGATTGAACATTATATACATATATCCTTGTACATGTTTATGACATTCCCCCCCAACCAAGATCTCAACGTGGAAGTAGAATTGCTATATCTTAAGAGTATGTACACTTTCAAAAATAGATTATTGCCAGCCTTTTGCATGAAGTGGTTATATCAGATTTATACTTTCACCAGCAGTGAATTAGAGTTCCCATTGTTTCATATCCTCACTAGCACTAGTGTTGTTGGATTTTTAAATTTTTGTCAGTCTGATGAGCATGAAATTTTCTCTCATTGTAGTCTGATTTGTTTGTCAGGGGTAGATGTGGGGCGAAGTGTGTGGAACAGACTCAGATGACTGAGAGATTAGATGATCAAATGAGGAAATAGACAGCTGGGGTTTAGGGGGAGAGATTAATATGTTTGCTATAGGATATTTTAGATTTAAAGAGCCAGATGGAGAAGTCCTGCGGGGAGTAGGAAGTGTGTCTGGAGCTGTGAGGAGATGTGGGAGTCATTACCATCTAAGTGGACCTGAAACCTTGCGAATGACCTTAGGGGGCAGTGAGTTTATGTTAAAGGCGGAGGAACAACTCAGAAAAGGAGGGTGATGGTGGTTACACAACTCTAAGAACATAATGTTACTAAACAGTACGAGTAGAAACTGTTGAATTGGTGTATGTTTTGCTGTGTGTATTCTCAAAAAGAACCAGAAAATAAATAAATTTTTTTAAAAAACAACCACCTTGTGAATGGATGGTTCTCCTAGTACAAATCTATTAAGGAAGAAGAGGGCCTCTGACAGACCCCTGGAAGATACCAACAGTTAAGGGTCAGGGAAGGAAGAGCCAGCAGGGGAGACTGAAAGTGATTGGTGAGAGGTTGGAGGTGACCCAAGACTTCCTCAGCTTGAAAACCAAGGGCAGGTCACTTTACCAACCTTGTCAATGTGACCAAACAGTAGAACAGAAACTGAAAGTAGAATACATTTGGTAGTTAAAAGGTCATTGGTGACTTTAGGGAGGATATTTTCAGTAATGGTGTTTATGAAGCCAGATTATAATGACTGGAAACTGAATGGCAAATAAGGGAAAATTATAAGATTCTTTTTTTTTTTAATTTTTCTTTTTTATTTTATTGTACTTCAGGTGAAGGCTTACAGAACAAATAGTTTC